TGAGTCCCATCTAACTCAGAATATTCTGCAAAACTGTGAATAAATGGCCCCTAATGAGCCTTCAACAAACTAGGTATAAAACCCCACTGTTGCTGTCCTCAACTAGTGAACCATATTAGCTCTCTTATATTCTTAGAAAATAAAACAATGAGAAAATTTTGATGCAGCTGTGGAGGACATAGCCTGTTTCTCTTACTGTTTAATTTACAGATTAATTTAGATGGAATCATTGAGGATTCACCTCTTCTGGAATATCTCCTTTATCTTCCAAGAAGCCTGACCACCAGATCTCACACAGTTTTGAGCCACCCCTTGAGACAAAGGCACAGATCCCTTACAAACAACATGAAGCAAGCCCACCCAGCTTAGCTGTGCATATGCTCCCTGTAAGCGCAGGTGCTCCCAAGTTTTCCTTGTTGGTTAGCCAGCAAAAGTCCTAAAGACAGAAACCTTCCCTATCTCTGCCTCTTCAAGGCATTTCTGCAGCAAGTGCATTATCCAAAGATAATGTTACTGTTGCTAATCAGTGCCTTAATAGCTACAAAATACACTGATAGTCCTGGTACTTTAAGGGATAGCATATAAAACAAAAGCAAGTTCATTAAACATATGCAGTTTTCCCATCACCAAACCAACCTTACTTCCCAAAATCTTTATTCCTCTTACACAGGGAGAAAAAGGATATACTTGCTGGTTGATGTTATCTTTGATGAATTCCCCCCAGCCTGCCCAAGAAAATGAAGTGAATCAGAAAGTTGAGCTGCTAGAAGATCAGATGCTAGTTAAAGGTGGGATTCGGATGACATACAAATTTGTACAGCACCCAGCACAGTTCTGTGAAAGGTGGATTACTATCACTTGTGCTATGCTCTTCTTGGAGAGCATTTAGCCTTCTAAACCTTGGTGTTAAACTGAAATGTAGAGGTCCTACAGGTGGCAACTACTGAAAGCTCCCAAGGAGTAACAGGGAGGAATTTACATCACAATCACTAGACAAAGATCATATGATTTCTCAATTCACCTTTGCTGAGCCATTTTTCATGCTTTGCAGGCAGAGAAATGCTACCTTCTCAACAGTCAGGACAACTGTGGGCTAGGAGACCAAATTCACACAGGACTCAAACAGGAAAATGCTCTTGGCAGGCTCTCACCCATTCAGATCAGAGCCTTCAATGCTGGCCTGCTTGGGACCAAAGAAAAAAAATTCTCTCCACTCCCCTCCCTCCTTTTTTAGTAAGTAAAGGGTCCCTAAGCATTCTGATACAGCTCCTGTAACTCTTGTGAAAAGTCAGCATAGGGGCCATTTGATGTACTCGCTCCATGGGGAGAGAACATTTGTCAATTGACTACTTGCATTAGCAGGCTGGAGAAGGCATTCTCATACATCCCAGTCATACAAAACTCCAGCAATCAGGTACTAACAGCTATTTTACCTTTCTTTTCCTAGCATTATATCTGATCCACATGCTTCAGGCAAAAATACCTGCACCACAGTTGGTCTCCTCAGGGGCTTGAGCTCCCCTTATGCATTGTCTCAGACAGCAGACAGAAAACGTTTCTAGTTATACCCTACATTGGAGGTATTTCTGTTTTCTGATAGTATCTTGAAAGCTGTAAGATTCACTCCCTTCTGGAGGAGAAGAAAATGACAGTTATTACTGCCTATTATTGTGCGTTAAAATAGGAAGAAAGGATGAGACAGAGTTGGAACTCAGTGAGACCATGAAGAAAAACAATCCTTTGGTTTGATATATTTAAAGCAACAGTGAATATATTTCCATGGCCAAACTACTAATTTCATTACAGAGTCTCCAGACTTTCACAGCAGCCCATACACCTGACTTGGTGCATAGGAGGGGACCCTAAGAATTAATACACCAGTAAATATATATGTGACCAAATCTGAGTAGTTTATAGTGCTGCAGAATAATTTATTATTCGGTAACAGCAAAAAGTACTGTAAGTATTTCAGATTCCTGCCAAAAGAGGTGCTTTTGATGGTCAACTGTTGAAACTGGTACTGGGGAAGCATCAGAAGGAACAGAATTAATTTTACTGTGTCTTAGTCATGCTGTCTTCACAAAGTTTATTGGGAAGAAGCAGATTAATTTCTATCCAGCTTAAGTCACTAAAGTACAGTATGTGCAGAGTCAGATGAGCAGAGTCTATTTTAAGGCACTCATCTCACAGATGCACTAAAGCTATGCCTGGTTTGTAAAAACAAAATTGAGAGCTTTTATGTTCCTTTTGAGTTCTTTTATTTTCATAAAAGCAAGCACTATTCCAGAACAGTAAAAGAGGGAAGGTAGAGTGGGACATAATCTTTCCACTTACCAAAACTTGCTGCATGGAAAAATATGATCAAACTTTAAGCTAAGCTTTGTTCAAATGTTTTTCAAGTAATTTTCTTGTAAAGAGTATCTCTATGCCAATTTTTTTATGCAGAGTTCAATGTGGGTTTTGATCCTTTGGGAAAAGTAAGAGAGGCTAAAAATTACAGCCTTGCCTTTTTTAATATATCTATTTCAGACGTTCATATCAGAATATGATAGTATTACAAAAGAAAACTTCTCCTATTCTGGTTTCCTTTATTTTCTTTAATATGTGGTAATCTATTCCTCTAAAATTTTCAGGTTCAGTAATCACAAGAAAAGAGTTCAAACTGGTACAGAACTTCTTTTAGAGCTGCCCTCAAAACAGTGCAGAGAAATGCTATGGACAAACTCCAACCCCAGAAAGGCAAGTCACCTCTTGAAGTCAGTGCTGCCTTTCTTTACCAGCACCTTTAAGTGGTGAGGGTTTGCTGAAAGAACTGTTTTTTCTATGTGTTAGTTCTTCAAAGAATTTAGAAACAAAAGCCTGGGTGGGCCTCCAGTCCCCCGCTAGTACTGGGAACATTTTGAGTTTTAAAAAAAATCTTTGTAACCCACATCTCAAAAGAGACACAAGAAAACTTGGAGGTTTCCTACATCTGACATTCACAAGTGCTCCCAGCACTGAGCTCCACTACTGTAATGGTACCAAGAGAAGAATGAAGATGGAAGGGGAGAGGAAGTAAAGCGGAAAATTTAGTGGAAATGAGTTTTCCTCTGTCACAAACCAACAGCTAAATTTAAGTGCTTTTTTCACACTGACAGTGGTGAGGCTGAAAAAATCCAAACCCACCCTGACAAGCACAGCAGCAACATCCACCAGTGTATTTGCCAGCTTAGCAACATGCAAGTCAGAACTCTCTTTCCAGATTATCCCTGACCCTACTGAGATCACAAGGGAATTCCTCCCTTGCCTTTTATCATGTGCAAATGCAGAATTTAAAAATGGCCTGTGTCTTTAGAATTCACAACTGAGATAACTGATTTTCCTTCCTCATTTTCTAATTCCAAAGATCCTGCTGCAACATCACACAGACAATTCTGTCAAAACCCAAATACCAGGAAAGTTAGCAAGATGTAAATTCACCCTGGCAACTAAGAGACCACAGTGCAGCAGAACAGGTCTCTTCACATTAGGAGTGTTTTGATGGCATGTGTAATACTTCTGTGCCACATTCCAAGGACAGAGATGAAGCCTTGCTTTCAGAATTCTCCAAACATGTTGACATCACATTGTTGACCTGACATTCATTTCAACCTGATTAATATCACACAAATCACAAGTCTTCAACTATGTAACATTCTAGAAGTTATTTTTTATTACTGTGGCATACTGACAACTGTCCAAGAGGACAAATGTGGTTTCTGAGTACAAAAGGAATGAGACCAAACTTGAGAACTACGTAACAGGTAGCAGACCCCCCTACCCAGTGACAGAACAAAATGCTTTATGCAGAATGGATATAGCCTAGACACTTACAGATTCACAGAATATTGTAACCAGAACAGTCTTACTCTTCCTCTATGACTCCCAAACCCAGCCTTTTGTCCTTTTCTGTGGAGTACTCTCAGTTCCATGCTATGGTCCCAGCTCCCTCACATACAACTTACCTTTTCTGGTATAATATTTTTGGATATTCTCCACCTCCCAAGGTCCACACTGCAAAATATTTTCTTTTTAGTCCACACCCCTCTTCTAAGTAAGGAAGAGAAGTCTTCACAGTCTTCTTTTCTGTAGACACTCTGATAATTTCTCTGCCTATAAAGTACATTACAAGGGATGTGCTGCTGCTGGCAGGAAAACAAATGCACTTTATGTTTCCTTTAAAGCTGCTTTTGAAGTGAACAACTAACTGCTCTAGTGCTTCCGAGGACTGGTCAGTGTGGCAATTGAAAATGAGAATTCTCAGTGTAAACAGTGAGTCAGCCCACTAAACAGTAGGTGACACTTTGTAACTGAAAATGTGAACTTAAACTAAATGTAAGACTCTTTCAGTCATTGAATGAGAACCTGAAAGCTGGCCCTTTGCCAAAGAACAAATATAAAATCCGGCTGCTGATGTGATAGACCCTCACCAAGATCAGAAGCTTCTGAAGACTGAACTCAGAAGCCTGGGCAGAATGAAAGATACTTTTCTTGCCTTAGAAGAATTCACTTTTATTTATTTTGAGTCATAAATTCTCATTCCTCTTCTCAGTACTAGCAACTCAATCACCACACTGAGCTTACCTGGACATATTGTGCTGTACAGGTAGCAAGATCTATGCAGCAATTCTCCATGAACTAAATGTATAGTCCTTGACAGAAGCAATCCACTCTAGAAATGTGGTCAACTAAATCAAAAGAAACAAAGTAACTCCATATTCTGGTCACCAGGTTCTATATTCTGTGTGGTCTTGACCCAAGATTTTCTCATCATCTCTGCAATATAGTAAAAACTACTTTACTGGGGTGTTGCAAAGTTTAGGGTTCATAAAGAATAGGATAAGTATACTCTGCTTCTGTGGAGGGATTTTGATATTCAATGTTTGCATTGTAGGCCCAGAAAAGGGGCTTTTGACAGTTTCCTTTAGGCACTGCATAAGTAGTCACCTGATTATAGCAAACATGGCTCTGAAGACAAAACCTGACCTTTAAAATACTTTTATTAAACAAAAAAAAAAAAAATAAAGTGTATAAGAAACCCCCAGCCAGCATACCCCATATATTGGCCTTTAAAACACTGATCAAATAATCCTTATTTGCAGTTGAGAAAAATATTTTCTGGTGATACAAAAGCTATAAAGGTCTGCAAAAATCACTTGCTCCCTGCCATCTGTATTTGAGAAATGCTTTCAACTCAGTCAGGATAGGATCTAAGACAGGAGAGAGTAGGTTGCTATGTAAGGAAGTAGGAGCAAAAAACAATTCCTATTTCCCACACAGGAGCTGTTGGCCAGTATAACGTGTAAATATTCCACAACATTTTGCAACTACAGATCATGATTTTTCCTTTTTTTGTGATCTTAATATCATTTTGCACAGTACATTTATACATTTATAATAATGAAGCACCAGGTTTTAAAGGAATGAATCTGGTTCTAACAGACAAGCATGTGTGAAGGTGTCATTACCGTCTCTTCAGCTCTGCAATCAGACTTGAATATCTCTTTCTAAGCAGTATTTCACTAGTTTGGATTGCTCTGTGCAGACATGACTCCATCCTGGTTAGCAGTGTTAACTATTATAACTTCTCCATCCCAGCTGTCAGTGTACAGCTTTGAGGGACCCTTCTGCTCTGGGTGAGCTCCCAGCAGTGTATGGAGTGGACACAGAACTGATTCATTCTCCTTTCAGCACCAGGAGCATCTACACTAACTGTACTAGTTACAAGTCTAAAAAAATCAAAAATCCCAGCCCCTGAAACAGGAAAATGTTTCACAGAAAGGGACAGAGATCTTGGGCTGCTGCTGAGCTGACAGGAAAGTGAACCTGTAGTGCAGAGAAGACCATAATTAGTGATCTGGGGTCAGTGTGGCAAAATCAGCACACCTGGCTCTGCTGTGTGCTTCAGATTCTGTTGTGAATTTCAAACTATTAACTTGTCAGTCCCTGACCTAGAATTTTTTCCCACAAGCCTCTGTGGTGTTTTTCATGGTGCTTTGTTGGTTTTTTTGCTCTATCTTGTTTTGTGTTTATTTGAGTTGGTTGGTTGGTTTTTTTAAAGCATGAAAGTAATATACTTTTTCACTTCTGTAACAATAAACCTATAGGGTTACCTCCACTAAATATTCACTATTACCTGGTAACCTTGCTGTGACATTTCTGTCTTTCTTCCCAGGCAATGCAACAGGAATTTCAGGCACCAGAGCAGATTCTCATTAAATTTAGTAGTGTTCAGCTAAAAGCAATACAAAGGACAAGCTAAATTCAGTTCTAAAGAAAAGAAAAAAAAAAAAAAAGATGCCTTAAAGGTATCATTACTGCCCAAATACTTCAGACAATTTCAATCTTCTGTTCTAGTTTTGAAAGCCAGATGCCATTTATACCAGCTGGAAACATTTCTGGGATTTCTGTTCTCATTTGAGAAAATAAAGATGGATGTACTTTCTTCTCATTAGCATCTTTTTTTGGGCCCCATCTCACAGAGCCATCTCTTCCAAAACTTTGCTTCCACAGTCACCATATATCACTGGTCACATCATGTCCAGCTGCAAACAGAAGAAACAGATTTGAAAGAAGCAGCACTGAAGTAATTTCTTATATGTGTTTAGTGCTAAGAAAACCAGGCAAATTTGGAAATCCTTATCATGTAACATAAATAGATTGCACAGAATTCAGTACTAATCTTCTATAAAGTCCAAAAACAAACTGAAAAATCTCATCTTCACATAATCATCTGTGCAATTTATAGATTTTTAAAAGTACAGTCCAAATGTAGAGATCTGTCTGTTATCTAAGCTTCTTTAAAACCATCTACACCATCAGCTGAAGCCTTGGAGACAGATTTGTAATGAGACAGCCTGTAAAAGATGGCTAAAATATTTATTAAAAAAACTGATATCCTTGAATTTCAGCAAGCCTATATAGAGAAATTTAATTCAAAAGATCAAAACATCTTTTTTAAAATGTTTGAGTTTTCAACCCACATAAATAGCAGTTCAAGATCTACAAACCTTTTAAAAAGCTATTATAGTAAATTACACCAATCCACTTTTAAATGAGTGCCTCACTGGCTCTTTTGAAGCATATTAGAGGACACATTTCACCCCTGTAAACACCTATGTTACTACATCACACAGTATTTGCCATCATGAAATTACACACCTGCCTAAGTCTTACAATAGCAAGTCAGTAATTTAATGTGGCTCTTCTGATTCAATTCCTTAGGTGTTTTCTAAGCCAGCACTCTGATATCTATTGCTTTAAGAACCATTTGGCTCTCTCATTGCACCTTTCACTTACAGCTAAATTCTGAAGCCACACCAAATCTTTATGGCACTCACCAGATCATCAACATCACCACCTTCATCTGTAGGAGGCAGAGTTTCATTTTTCTCTTCCTTTGGAGCCAAGAACTAGAAAAAAAAAGTGATACTGACAAAACGGAGCAAAAGAGACTTAATGTCTTTAATGTTAAATTAACAGAACATCTCCTCTGTATACCAAAACAAAGCCAGCTAAAATTAAAAATCAGGAAGGATGTGTTTTCTGGTTTCCACCCTTCAAAACCATATTAAACTACAAAAAACTTCATAAGACTTGCTTTTAAAGGATTTTATGGTGAAGTGTGTCAAAAACCAGACATAAGGACATGGTTCTTGAGACAACACATGTAGAGAACCCTGTGATAAGGATGCTGCAAATATTATTTCCTAGACTCAGGGGGACATAATAAAGATGCATAGTAGAGAAATCATTTGAAGTCTACTAAGTCCACAGAAACAACTTCAGGCACAAGAAGTTTTTGAGACATCAGTAGCTGCAGCCTGGGACTATGCATTTTCTCTACCCATCCTTTTTTGTCCACTGTCAGATGGGATTCTGGATTAGATGGAAATCTTATCCATTGCAGTTTGACCAGGTTTATGTTCTTCAAAAACATTGTGTGTAGCTACAAAATGCTCAGGGATAAGAAAATCCCTAACCCTCAATGAGTACATACATGAGGGTGCCCAATGGCTTCTTTGAGACATTTCCTACACACAGCATTCTAGCTTTGTGTTGAATTTTTAAGCTTCCCCATTTAATTCAATTAACATTTACCAAATGAACAAAGATATGAATAATTAAAAAAAAACCCTCTAACATGCAAGATGGTTAGAATGCCAGTCTTAAAAATGGAAAATCATTATGTAAAATTACATTGCCATAGCTGCTGATACAACTCACCATATGCCCTTCACTTAAAGCATGACATTCATAAACAGAAGAGAAAGGTAAGTTGCTCAGATACTATAAAAACTGAAATCAAACATACAGACAATATCTGGAGTACAACCACCTCCAAAATTATTTCACAGATTTTTCTCTTAGCCTAAAAAAACCCAAAACATTAAAATGGTAGGGAAAATGGCAATACTTAACTCTTACTTAAAAAAAGCATCCAGTTGTCTACAAATTCTAGTTACCACCTTTTTATCAATATCCTTAATAGGAAATCTTTTTTTTTTTTTCTTATTAAAATGCACCAGAACAAGTATACAGAGCTAGAAACAACCCTGCCCCCCAAGAAAAAGTAGGCATGAAGCTAATGAGGAAAAGCCACATTCCCAGACTTGGAGTCCTGTCATCCTTAAGTCAGAAACAACTCCACTATAACTCCAGATAATGAAAGAGAACAGCTAAGTAGAAAATAGCCACATTAAACAGGCTATAAATACCTGCTTAGATAACTCTTTTGTGCTCCTAAAAGGGAGCTGCTGTTCAGCTGAGGACTTCAACTGTGTCAGCCAGAGAGGTTGTGTAAGAGGCCATGGGATCCCTATCAATATCACCAATCTCTGAGACCATACATTTCTAGTGTGAAAAGCTTAAACATTATTTTAATAAATAAAATATTCTGATCCTTCTCTAGAACCCCAGTGACCAAAGGTCAGAGCTTTCCTACATCCTAAGCAGCAACATCCAAGAGAAACATAGAAATCTCACTTCACAGACAATATTCATGTTCTGACCTGCTGAGTTTAACTTATCAGAGATTCTGTAGCTGAAAAAAAAAAGAAAGTCAGGGAATGTGACAGAAGGAATTAGAATTTCAGGATGCTGTACATCTGTTTATCTTTTTTGTTGGAAGAGTTCTTAATCTAGTAGTAATATAAAGCACATACTATGAAACTAAAAGCTAATGACATTTGTCAGCTCTGAAAGGCTTTTTGTGCCAGATCAAATTTCCTTTTTTCACATTTAATTAAGAGTCAATTGGTATTTCTGGAAGTAGCACATTTTTCAAAAATTTTACAATCAGCTTTCTCGTACTAAATTATGCAAAGGAAGCTAAAAGCCAGAGAAATGTACAATGAAGATTTGCTGTAAATTGAAACCTGAAGTTTCCATTTAATGCTGAACATCCAAAGCTGCGTTTTTTCTCTGAAAACCTGTTTTACATTTATGCAAAAGCAAATTACATATAATAGCTGTGCTGAAATCCATTATCTTCCCCAAAGCAACCAGAAAATGCACTTGACATTTCTGCTCTTTTAACCTACCATCCTCATACTCTAAAAAGAGTATCTCCACTATTACAGGGAAAAAAAAAATTCTCAGTGATAGGAAAATATGCATGCATAACCTACCTCAAGCAAAAGGAAAAAGGAAATTTTGACCTGTCTAATAAGCAGCCTGGTATGTCTTCCTTTTTCCTGCAGACAACAACCCTATAAAACCTGTAATCTTACAGACAAAACAGTCTTGAAACTACTAGTAGCTAGTAAACAGCACATAGGAGAAAGGGTTTTTGTGTCACAAAGGACAACACTGACAGACAACCCCATGACCTACAGGCTTGCACATAACCTCTACAGAGGTGAAGAAAACTTGCATCTTACTCTGTTGGGAGATATTTGAAAAAATCCAATATAACCCCTAAATGAAGGGTATCGCCTTCAGCACAAAAAATACATGAACCATTTTTGCAATCTGCTGTAGACCTAGGAAAATGCTGGCTTTGTATCACACAGGAAAATTGTGGCAGGGTTTAATTGGACCAAAGAGGACTAGATTTTTATACCAGCCCTACAATACCAAGATAAAATATTCTATCCCTGCAGATCTTACTCCAAGAATTACCGTCTTGCAGTTCCTTAATGAAAAAGTCATATGAGCCCTTTACAGCCAATGGGAATTGGAGTTCTAGGTTTGGATTTGGACAGTGTGTGGGGAGATGGTTATCTAGTGAATATCTGAATTGCCAACTGCTTAGCTAGCAAAGAGATGCAATCCAATTACTCTGGTAGTTAAGGTAACTGCCATCTGAGAGAACTCTGCTGCAAAACTGATTTCATGCAATATCTTGTATTCCTCCAATTTAATTGGAAGATATGGCTATTGTATGACCTTCAATCAATGACCTTCAGTCACAAAATAGTTTATGTATTGCAATATATGGTGATTGTAGGATGATGGTAAACAGAAATGTAAACTTGCACTCAGCCTATAAATACCTTCTCCAGCTTAGCCTGGCAGCTGTGAATCCAGTCCTTGATACTCTCTCATTTGTGCTGCATTCCCATGCAGGCACAGTATTTTTCAGCCACCACAAGCTCACAATGGTATGCTGCAAGGTCTTTGTGGTTAGTAGAGATTTCTTTAAGGAACAGTGGCTCTTTCACACAGTATTAGCACATTTTTTGAGCATCAGTGGTAGTTTCAGACTAGAAAGTACAGTTCTCAAGAACAATATTGTCTTAGGAAGTTTCCAAGTAATTTAATAGCACTTGAAGTAGATAAAAAAGGCTGATACTCTTTAAAACCACCACTGGGGGAAAAGTTGCTCTATACCTTTATGTGTAATGATAAATAGCCAGTAGGTCCTTCATGTCTAGAAAACTCATCATACTCTGTCTTTTTATCCTGCACATGTGCTCAGCTTTCTGGACTCCTAGTTTGTTAGCTTTTCATTTTCATTACATTTCTGTGCCTTCTTCACCTTGAGATAAATTGTTACAGATGAAAAAAAGCAGTTTCTAAAATACAACCTTTTTTCTACTCTTTAACTGAATTATAGAGAACTTACTTCTACCCATTTCTGCCTATTGCTTATGGAAGGCCTGGAAGCTGCAAAAATCAATGTGGCATCTTCCATAAAAGCTACTTCTCTGCAAAATGGTGATTTCAGACACAGTTTCACCTTCGGGGGGGTCTGTGATACAAGGACCTTTCTCCTAAACTAGCAGACTAATACAAAAACATCCATCTTATCCTCTCCACACAAATATCATTTTTGACAGCAGCTCAGAATTCTGCTTCCTTCCAAAGAGGAGGCACCATTCTGCCTGTTACAATTCAGTCCTTTGTAACTGGGACATCCTTCATTCATCACTGTAGTTACTAAAATGCTACATATCTGTAGAAATTATACCTGTAAATAGTCCAAAACTCCCATTTCCAAAAGGATCTAATATGGTCACCAATAATACCCCCAGCATTATGTATAATGCCCACCCATCCACAAAAGCTACACAAAGGGAAAATGTTGGTATCACTGCATGTATGGTGGAAATTAGCCACAACAACTTGAATTGCTGGAGTTCACAAAACCTTTTTTAAAAAGTATCATATTTTTGAACTCGTGCTACCAGTGAGAACATATTTCTTTCTGTGAAGTCCAAATAGTGATCTTACATATGTAAATAGCACTCTGCTGTTCCACTACACAGAGTGGTTGAAGTTCCTACTCTTTGTAGAGGATATTTTCAGATCATTTCAATACATGCTACTTTTTAAAGACCAATTACAGTAAAACTAGTACATGCTAAAGTAATTTTGTCTGAAATGAAGAAGTTTCAATTGTGTGGCAAATGAACATTCTTATTTCTTCACATGGATCTTATTGCATTCAGCTGAAGATTTATCCACATGAGAAACTCTTCAGTTCCACACCAAGACCTCTATACAAACAGATGCTTATTAAAAAAAATTATACCTTCTCAGCCTCTTCACCTGTCACCAAACTTCCTTCTGCTTCATCTTTAGTGATCAAAGAAATCCTTTCTGGAAAAAAAACCAAAACCAAAACATAAAAATATCATTAGAAGGCTTCCCAAAAATTCACCTAATGTTAGAAGTGAAAAAAATGTTCCACATTTCAACTTCTGGATGTGTCATCATCACCAGCAAAAAAGAGAGTATCACTCAAAGGAAAATGTGACTTGCATAAATGAGTCAACTATGATATAAAATATGATATAAAAATAAATTAATGAGCATATTCATAAGCTTGTGGAAGTATCCATTTAGGAAACTGCTAATATTGTGACAATCAAACTAATGAGACACTGAAATCATAGCTCACAGACAAAATGCTGAAAATCTATTAGAAATTGCACTTTTAGTCATTCACAGCATGCTCTTAGGTCCTCAGAAAAAATTAACTCTTCGGATTCAGACACTTGTGCTGTGATTACTTGGTCTGACTACCAAAGTGCTGATCCTGCCCCAGCTTGCTCCTTGGTTGTGCCAGCAGCACCACCCTGAGCAGTGATGTCCCACCCCTCCAAAAAAAAACCTTCCAAAAATCTCCATTTATTTTGACCCCAATAGTTTCCCCCAGTCTTGTTCATTACTTGACCATACAAATGCTTGTGCCTGAATAAGCAGCTGTGGGTGTGAGAGCAATGAATAGGAGATTCATTAAAATTTCAGCAGCAGTGTAAGTGTAGAATCACCTTCATGTGCCCACAGAACCACATGGCAGGGTTTCATGAACAAAGGAATTTATCAAACAGCTTTGCCTTTCTTCTGAGCCACTAACTCATTAACTCACATCCACCTTCTTTTGGTGATGGCAGTCACTCATGACAAGACCCAATGCACACCACACTTGGTAGAAAAGAGGGGATGGGTCATGTGGCAAGAATGAGAGAAAACAGAACTTCTGCACTTGTTAGCAGCAAGTAAAAAGCAATATCAGCTGCCTACTGAGAGCAGCCAGATTATGCATTAAGCATCAAGACTTCATTTCACCGTGTCCTCAAAGGAAGATAATCTCTGCTGTATGAAAATATCATCTCTCTTTGTATTTGTTTGTTTGCTTGATTTTTTCCTCTAAAACATACTCCAGTTTGTCAAAAATTCTGATTTATACTAACTAAAAATTATTCATGGCTTTGAAAGATCCAAGTTTGCTACTTTCAAAGTTTAATGGTTTCTTTTTCCAAATTTATACAGAGAAGGTCCCCTACAGCACTACTGAATATAATGTTCTTGTCAGTGTTGCCCTGTCTGTTTTTTTCACATTGCTAAGCAAATTCCCATCCTGTAATTCAAAGCTGGACAAAGCAGACATTACAGCATGTCTGGAGTTCATCACTTTGAATGGTACTACACAAAATCACATCACTGCATTTTATAGCATGCACCCTTAAGAGATACAGCTGGGCATTTAACAGATTTCCTTAGCATTGGTTCCAATTAAAAACAAGACTATGATGTAAAATATTTTTTTTAGTCTGCTACATTTTCTATTTGTGAAAATGTTCCTTTATTTATCACTTGTGTAGTCTTTGAATGTCTTTTAGAATGGCACTGCCTTGTATCTCCCAGTTTAATCATAGGTAGGTGTCATACTACCACATATTCTGTCCTTCAGGTTACTTAAATACAAAATGATCAGTGACACATTTCAACGCTATCTGTGACTTTTTGGAAGCTTAAACTGCAAGAATCTTTTTATAGCTCTACTGCATGAGTTTTTTCCATTTATTCTGAAATTCAGCTGAAATTGTGTCTTCTTCTCCTTACCCCATAACATTTAATTTGTCTCTTCTTCTACAATTAATTTACCATTTCAACAAGACTTGGCAATGCTTTATGAATAATGCTGATATAAAACTATTAGTGCAGAAAAGGAAAGGAAGCTGCAACATGAAAGTGTTTTTTTTTTTAACTAGCTGCAGGAATGAAGCATATCAAAATGCTGCAGTGGGGTTAGTTTAAGTGCCCCACTGCTAATGAAGTTTTCTTACTTAGTGGGTAAATGCAATACAGCTAGAAATTGCCTAGTTTTTTTTTTTAATGCCATCCTACCTTGCACCATGATCTCCCAGAAATCAGATAAGGCTTTATCTTCCAACTTTGATTTCAGTGCCTGCAGAAAGTCATTAAAGCACTGCACCTTGGACAGCTGAAAAAAAATGTAACAGCAACTGTAAGTAAGAACAATTAAAGCAAGCTTAATTCTTCATGAAGTCATTTAACATGGTGAACACAAAAGTCTCCACAGAATTTGGGTTTTATTTCTATTAAAACTGTGAGTTCTAAGGAATGGTGAGCCACAAGAAGCACCTCTATGAAAACTAGAAAGACTTAATTGTAACTAGCTTTGTTGAAGAAGAAAATTGTAGTACTGTACTTTTAACTAGCACAAGCATCACGTCATAGGTCTTCGGTTTTATGTTTAAACAAAAATAAACAAGAGCAAGTAATACCAGAGAGGCTAGTTCCCATTCCAGTATAAAAACAATAAAAACCCCCATAAAATGCAACTCTATTTCTAAAATTTGAAACATATTTAAATTGTTTTTGCTGCAGCAATAAATTATCAAGCAAACAGGCTCATCATGCCTCTAATTTGAAAGAGGTAAGAGTATTCACACATTAACACTACCTTCATGGCCTCCTCTCTAAAAGCTCTGATACAGTCGATCCCTTTCATGTAGTACTGGGAACCTTTGTTTTCCAAGAACTGATCAATGCGGTTTTTCAACTGCTGACTCACTGGAAGACAAGGAGAAATAAAGTGATAAATAAACAAAAGAATGCACACTTCCAAGGAAAAAAACCAACTTTTCTTTTACATCTCTCTTTTTCTACTCCACAGGCACCTAAGTAGTTAATCATACCCACACTGCCTCAAGCTATGCAAGTTAATAATTGTTATATAAGCTAGTGACAATCATTTCAGCCTCTCTGGAAAAGCCAGATACACTAGGAAGAACCTCAAGCATGCCCAAGACATACTTTTCCCTGAAAGCCAAGAAAAAAAAGCAGAGGCACAACTTGTTTGATAAAAATTTGGAATCCTAAAGCTTAGGGAGGTTGATGTTCTACAATACAAGTGTATCCCCTCAACATCCTTTGCAATCAATGCATATTTCAATGAAAGCATTAAATTTATGAGAAAGGTGTAATAATGTCAAACCAACAGGTATGGGGTGACTTCAGTTAAAAGACCTTGCTGTCATTGACATCAGGGTATGTCTGGTCTCTTGTACAGGTAGTTTAATAACTTTCCATCAGAGCAAAGAGGTTTATGATTATAGAGATTATGAACTGTGCATGCCTGACAGAAAGAAGCAGAGGTAAACAGTGAGACCTGTACCAACAAGAAGAGGAAAACCAGTGTTACCCTTACTGTTGAGCTCCTAAATGTAGGTAGCTGTAAACCACTGCAAACAGACAAGAGAAAATGCCACCCAAGAGCTCTGCAAATCCCAATTAATTTCTGCTAGTTTTTAGTAATTTACTTTCTCTTCATATTTACTTACAGTTAAGGAACTGTCCAGTTTTACCCTCTGACAAAACACCTCAGCCAGGAAAAAAACAAGTATGAGGAGGATACAACAGTGATCTATAAACTCAGAAGCATTGTGAAAAGAGCGAATAGGGAGTTGATAGCGCCCTGCCTCTCTCAAAACAAGAGCCAAGGCTTGGGTTAAGAACAAACAATAAAACAGGATCTTTTGAAACACACACCAGCAGTTAAATCAGCCTTTGGTAAAGGGGTTAAGTTTTAACAACTGAAAAAATGAACAAATTCTCAGAATTCTTAAAAGAGGATGTCTATCAAGGGAGATTACCAGTGTTGTTGCCATTGAGGAAGAAGATTCAGGAAAGCTTTCTGAGCAAAGCAGAAAGCTTTCCAGCATCTGCCTGCCCTGTTCTTGTACTGTGAAAGACCAGGCAGTGGATTAGCAGAGCCTTTCCCCTGATTTATAGCCCTTCCCAGCTCCAGATGTTATGGGCATAGACATGACTTCAAGAATCTCAGCTATGGAAGCATCAACAAAGAAAATCACCTGCCAGAGTGGTGGAAGAAACAAGAAGCACAGTAAGAAGGAGACATTGTTTAAGTACTGTGTTCCTCTCTGCTCTTGCGAGTATGCACAGCACCAGCTGTTACATAATTTTCTATAAAATGCCTAATTGAACCGAATCTGAAGGACAATATTTCTGCATAGTGTGAAACAAGGCATGTTTGATATTCTCCCACTAGGTTTTGACAGTTTCTAGAAAAGGAGGCAGATAATGGTTGTGCCCAACAGCAGTTACAGCACAAGAAAGTGTGCTAAAGTGCCTACTGTGCCAGAGGTAATCAGCTCACTCTCTATTTATTTCACCAGTAGCTGACAAACTAAATTGAAGTCTAACTACTTAAGCTTCCCAAGTTAAGTCAGTCCATTTTTTTCATGGTTAATGATTTTCTCATTACATGTTCTAATTTCTTATGAATTGCACTAATAAAAGCAAGTCCTGCTGGTGTTTTCAGTGGTGGTGGTGTTTTTTTTAAACACTGCCTTCTCATTGATGTGTTAAATTAAAACCCCAGGCACTACAAGGGTGCAATAAAAGTCTTCATTGTCAGAAAGATTCCAGCATACTGTTTGAAACTATCAGACACTCTACTACTTCTTTTGCATTAATTTTTTTTAAATCCCTTTCCATTTGATTGCCCTGGCAGCCATCAGAAGAAAAGACTTTCTTGCTACTGACTATGAGATGCCTCCTTTTGAAATCTGTTGCAAGGAACCAAAGGAAACCTGCAATGTTTTACCAGGCACCAAGTCCATAATATAGGCAGCAAACAGGTTACATGGCAACAGTATTTAAAGTCACATTTCTCTAACATCCTGAAGTAGCTTTGCTAAACACTTGATTTTGTCCATTGGGTTTCCCTTAAATGATAGGCCAATGATGGGTGAATTTAAAATAGACAAAAATTCCTATGTTCTGATTAGATTACCAAATTATTTCAGGGGACCAAAAGTAATATTAAAGACAGAAGATAAGGATTATAGCAGGAAATTCTTGAAGTGGTTGCTGTTCCTTTAGACTTCTAATCTGAGAACTTCGTTGATTTCCTGCTGCCTTTTCATTAGTCTGAATCTTTGGGTCTGGATGCAGCAAAAATAGATGTCCCTGTTTTTGGAGCAAAGCGTGTTCTGCATAAAGCTGTCTTTTTAACTAAGCCATGATAAGCATTAACTCTGATGTGTCCCAGGCAAATCTCAGGCATTGATGTTTTGTGGAGTAGGCCCTTGAGTTACAAACTGACAGCCCATTCAGCCACTCCTGTGTAATTGTAACTTTTTTCTTCCCTCTCAACTTCCCTCACTCCACACACATTTAAGGAAGTGAACAAACAAGAGACTTCTACATTTTGCATTAACTGGAATTTCCAGCACTCCTAATAACCACCACATTCTGCAGAACATCCCAAGAAACTTTTATCTCCTCTTCTCTCTTTCTACTGTACCTGACTGGTTAGATAACAAATATAGTTATTAAGGGTTAGAGAACTGCAGGGGAAAAAAAATCCCCAGAATAGATCTTTTAGTTCTAGCAGAATTTAATCCCTTCCCCTCTGGCATTCAGATACATTTGCTACTCCAAAATACATTCACTAGTGCTGTCATTTTTTGTGAAATATGCCATGAACAATTATATTCACTTGTTATCTCTGAACAGCTACACTACAGAAGTGCAGTTATATTTTCATGTTTGTTCAGTTCAGCTCTTGGTCTTGATTACTATACCAATCAGATTGCACAATAATAATACCAAAACTGTCTATTATTACAGTCCAAGTTTGATTCCTTGGGGATTCCCCTCCCCCTGCCCCCCCCAAAAAAGAAATCAAAAAAATTTCTTCCTTTAACAACAGGAGTCTTTTTTCTAATCTTCTGATTCATGTGCTGCTGGTGGTAATGATTTGTATTCATGGACAGTGCTTAAACTGACAAATCAGTTAAATCACCTGATCATTCATTTAAAAAATAATCTATAAAATCTTTCTAGAACTGAAAAGAAGAAAGAAATTCTGAACTGAAGACTGTACTAATTTTTAAGGACCTCCTTCATCTTTAAGCCAAGAAATAAGAATTTTAAGACCAAGAGCTGTTGGCTGTTGAACTAATCCAGTTCAGGACCCTATGAGGTCCTGTTCAGTTTTGAAATGGTGTCTCTGAATGTCCTGTGAGTATGGGTTAGAATGATTGAGGCTGGATGTCTGAAGGACATATGACCCAAATCCCTGCTAAAACCAGGGTGCATTGTGGAACAGGTGCCTCAGTGCTCCACAGACTTGAGTTCTGTGTAACTCCAAAGATGGAGAGTCTCCAACTCTCATGGGTCCCTTTTTCTATGTGAGCCTCACCATTGTGATCTTTATTATCTTTTTCCCCATAGTATCTAATTCATATTCTGTTTGTTGCAACTCAGAGCTTTGAATCTCACCCAATCACTATGCCCTTCAAAGACAAACCTGGCTTCATCCTCTCTGTGAAGCAGATATACAGAAAACTTCAAAGTGATTCTATATACTCAAGTATTTGGTTTGCAAAAACCCTTCTAATGACTGAATCATTTTCATCAAACCACTCATTGCATCTGCCCTGCCTAGCAGTAGAGCATGAATAGTCTCTGAAATATACAAAAACATCCAGTAAGATAAAAATGCAGACAAACTGCAAAAACCTGCCAACAAAGAATTACATGAAGTATTAGCTTTTTAAAAAACTGTCTTAGCTCCAGAAAGGTAATTACCTATACTTATTTCTACAGAAAATCTTGCAATAAAATATCATCCTTGTTCACATTCAGTTACTGATTCCTTCAGCTATATTTTTCTAGAAATGCCTAGGAAAAAAAAAATTAACTAATTTACTAAAATATAGAAATGAGAGCTTAGTGCAATTTGTCTCTGGACATGCAGATTTCTCTCCCAGCTGAAACTCAGCAAATTAAAAAAAGCTTTTTCGACATTACGTTCTCAGACAGGAGTACTGTAAGATGCAATGAAATGTGGCCTATAGACTCACACAGAAAATTTACAAATCAAAGAAAATACTGTGCATGTGTCAATACCTTTTTCTACTCCCCTGATTCTATCTGATACAGAAGCCTATGAAAATACAGCACATCAGACATGATCTGCTTTCCAGAGATGCAGACACAGATGGAAACCTCCAAACAGGAGGATGAACTGGCACTACATGCCTACTCCCTTAGCATTACAAAGATGGCAAGCACTTACTGCATTTTCTGAAGCCTTCTCTGAAGCCACAGCAATGAAGAAACTCATTGTACACACTTGGGAGCAACAATTAGATTCTACTCAGGTAAACTAATCTATTTTATGTGCAGTCATTGACAAAAACGTCAGAAGCTGTTATCAGGGGACATCTCTTTGTGATGACTCTACACTTGTGACTTGCTCAAAATAAGACCTGCATAACATGACACCTCTCTGGCCATGAATGCAAATAAGAAAGGATGTTTAGAGGAGAACACAATTCTAGTTACATGAGCATCAGTATTAACTAGTAAGCTGAAACCATCAAACAAATCTCACAATGTCACCCTTAAGCAGCTCCCTACTAATAAAGGACACAGTTTTCAGGTAAATCCCAAGTTGATTATTTTTTCAGGAATTGAGCTGCCAGTCCAGAAAACCTGTCTCTAAGACCCTTACCAATCTGAAAATCTTTGATTTTCTGCAGATATTATTTAGGCATTAGTGGCAAAGATGTCACACAACATCAGATACGGACTAGCTTCCACTTAAGACTTCTGCTATGAAAGGTACAAACCCTGATTAATGCATCCCAGTGAGGGCACTGCAGGAAATATACTGGTATCTATTTTCAGTGATAAATATACCATCAGGACTTCCTACAAGCTGTTTCAGAAGAAAAAGAAAAATAATCACCTTGCCATCCTCTGGTACTGCTACCTTTATAATTTTGGTGTGGGTGTGCCATTAACCTGCAGCTGAATTAAAAAGCAACTCTAGTGTCACTATTTAAAGTACAACTCTTCCTACTGCTACAACTTCTCTATCTACTAAAAAACAACCCACCTCCAATCAAACAGTTGAAAGGTCTTTCTCCTCCCAATGAAAGGACTGCTGTTATTTTAAAAGGTGAATGTAAGCCCTATTCAGTTAGGAAGACCGTAGCAGATCGTTTTTTTTTTTTAATGCAAGAAAGAAAAACAGAATGCAACTTAGCAGCTCTCCTGTCTGCATCCTGACACATAAAATGCTACCCTTTTTACAAATAAGTATTTGAATCCCACAGATTATCCTTTTCTGCAAAGAAATTCTATGTTTCTTACATTCTAGCAGAGGGAAAAAAAGTCATCATTAAATGACAAAATTATACCAAAAAATCCCTTAGAACCACTGAATAGTTTTAAGGCAGAATTTACTATTTACATAACCAAAGTGCAATATAGCAAGCCATTAAAAACATGCCTGCAATGTTCAATGTGTTAAGCCACCTAAAAGGCTCTGAGGCACAAAAAGGATTACCTAAAAGAAAAAAGATAATATGCAAAGTATGTTTTTATTTATAGTGGCTTCTCTCTCTCCTTTAAATGGGTGACTGCACTACATTCTGTTTAACTACACCTTATCATTACAGAGCAGATCACAAAGAATAAAAGCAAATTGTTCAAAATTTCAGAACCTTCTAACCATGTACTGCAGTTATCTGCAGCACAGCTACCAAGTGGACATATTTAAGCACTCTTTCTAGTTAAACCATCTTCAAGGATAATCACTATAGTTATTTCTGCCTTAAAGCTTTCCTACATTAAATTTATCACCGTAACAAAGTAGTCAACTGTTCCACAGTTTCTGTATTCTAATGTATTGCACAATGCTTTTTTTTTACTGCATATTAATATAGCTGAGATTTAAGAACACAACTCCAAATATTTTTTCAATAAATAATTTCTTCTGGGTCTAATGAAAAATACATGCAAAAAAGCTAGCTAGCTGGCTCACAGGTCTGGAAACTCTGGGGAGAAATAGCTATGCAGGCTTTAACAGACTGTATCACAACTCAATACACTGATAAACACACTCCTGAAACTACATCCAAAAGGACCAAAGGTCTTGTTGAAATACCCAGTACCTCACTCAAGCACCTCTGCAAATCTTTCTTTGAAAAATGGAATGTGACATTAATGGCTATTTGGCAGATCAAGTTTACCCTGCCACAACCTTCAAATCACCCTTTATGAGATACAGAACCCCATCCATCTTGTGCATTCTTCTTAAGGCACCTTTGGATTACATATAACTCTGCATAGCTACTCCAGGAGGGAAATACCATACAAACCAATGATAATTTCATGGCATTTTCAGACTTAGGCCATGCAGGACAATGTTTGACCTGTGCCTTGTGTTGTTCTTCTCTGAGATGAGTCAGTGCACACAGAGCCTTCTCTCAACTTTCAGATTACAAATACTACCTGCTTATTCCACTCTGAATTCACCTGTGCTTTCTTTCACTCACAAGCAGTAAGAAATGACATATGTATGTGAAGATTTAAGTCCCAGGCACGACAGTCTCTTTTTTTCTTCATGGAACACAAGAGGTTTCTCACACTGTGCACACCAAGGGCTCCCCACCTCAGGCCAGAAAGACCCTGGGAATGAGAAGCTGAGGCACATCCTGAATAAGGCAGTCAGGGAATACCAAGGGGTCTTCTGTTAGAAACACCTGAGGGGTTGCTCAGGTGCCTCAGCACAGCTGTCCAGTGCCTTCTCACCCAAACACAGCTACCTGAGGCTTTTAATTGGGGAAGGCAAGTATTAACATGGGAATTACAAACAACACCTTCCTTGGCTGAGTGGCACTACTAAGCTAACCTATAAATTCCAGAGCAACTCACATTGCACAACAAACTTAAGTTTAGACAAATGGACTGCATTTACTGAAATCTGAAGTTGCTGCTAATATAATTAAGATAGACAAAAGTCATTTACCATCTTTGAAGTCAGCATTTTTCTTCCTCACCAGAATTCGGAAATCTTCTGCTGGGTTAACACTGCCTACCTACAAAAAGTACAAAACCAAATCAATTGTCTTCCAATATCCATCTCTCTCTTCTTGTCAGGCAACAAGAATCTTTACATTTCTTTTTATTTTCATATGAAAACAGAAACTGTGTACTTCTCTGCATTCAGACTCAAAAATGCAAGTCTTCTAAAGTGTGTTAATGCACAGTACTCCTGGCAAAGGCTGGCTATGACATGAGCAAGATGAACTCACTCTGCTGCACTGTTACAAGCTGGCCACTTCTCTGGTGCTGAGAGGACAGAAGCACAACAATTCAGGTTATCTGCTAGTTCAGCTTTGAGATCTTCTGTAGCACAGCCCTCTTAGACCTCCCTAATCTCACCAGGTGCTTAGTGAGGACTGTGAGCTCCCAGGCACGTGGGTACAGAATCAGTGGTGTGCCACTCCAATAGGACCTCAAAATTAAAAGTTTGCACTTAAATCATCTAGGCTTTCTGGCAGAGTCTGGCATCTTAAAGCCAAAGCTCTAAATGGGCATGTAAATGCAGAAATCTTTCAAAGGAACTAAAACCAGGTCAAATATAAATAAACACTGAAAAATGGATGCATTAACTTGAGGGGAAAAACAACCAACAACCCTACATTGCTTAAAATTTCCTATCAGCAATCATAATTCCCCTACTTTTTTTTATGCTTTGCTGCCAGAATAATTCATGGACTTTGCAATAAGTTTGCTTGGCCTCACTGTATTTCTTTAAGATCTAGCAATGCCACTTTTCAGGAAATATCAGAAAATTGTATTAGAAGTGCAGAACACTGAAATCTTTTTAGATATCAAATATTTTTATAAGTATCAATAATGCTTTTTTTCAAAATTAACCTTAAAGAACAGCACATTTGAAAACAAGAGAAGTTAGCTCAATATTAACTATTTTTTTATAATAGGAAAACATCAAATAAAGGAAGGTGCACAGTTATGATATAGGTTTCATCTAAGCTATAATTTACAAGTTAGATCTAGAGGCAAGATTAAACCAAATTTGTGATTTAGACCCCCAATTAATACAGAGAACAATGTCTAAAATCACAGCAATACTTTTGATTAAATACACAGAGGCAACTTCTATGTTGCAGAAGATATGAAACACAGCAAGAACACAATTCAACCACTGAGCTCCAATTTTGTTTTCTTCAGATCCTCAGGCTTTTCTTTTAGAATTCTAAACACCAGGAGAGAATTTTGTCCTAAAATATCCACGACTGATGGAAACTTGTGTTAACACATGCCTAAGGGCAGAGAAAGTTGTCTTCACAATCTCTAGCAGAGTCTCAAATGTACAAGTACACAGTATTTCACTCATGTTTCAGCTAGAAACTCTCCTTTTATCAGGAATTCTGGATATTCACTACAATAGACTTGGAGAATTAATCTCCTTTGATAATCAGATTTGTAAAAACATGCTTACAGAGGTGATATTGCCTTCAGCAAGTTTCATAAGGCTAAAGCCTTCTTCCTCATCTTCAATTTTTGGTTTCTTAAGACTGGGTTCATCTTCACTGCAAATGAGAAGGACAAAAATGAATATAAACACTTGAAGATGATGGTTCTGCCTTCCAACTAGGGAGTCAATAAATTAATGAAATATACACTGAACTAAACTTCATTACATAACTGTTCCAAAATCAACACTTTACCATGCCTTATTTGTCCCTTGGGCTGCACAAACCAGAGAGTAGAAACAGAAATCAAACTTCATCTTCACATACAGCAAAGGCATCACTTGTTGAAGGTATGACATTATTACTGCTTATTTCAGGGGTGAATTTCCTTATACAGACCTTCTTCATCTTTCTAAATACAGAATATCTCCAAACACTATTTGGAATCTCTGTGTTGAGTTAGCCTTGATAATTTACAGTATGTAACATGACATTTGGTATTTTCACTAGATTTTTTTTCTAAGCATGAAATGTAAGTGAAAATTTACCATTTTAGTAAGACATAAATTTACTGCTCAATCACTACCTGCTAGAGCCTGTCTTGGAATTTACAGCTAATACAAACCTGTTTACACAGTGGCTTTTGAGTCTAATGACCACTACTCTGTATCAGCACGAGAGCTCTGTAAACTTCCACCTTGTATTTGTTAAAACCTGCTAGACAAACTCCAGTTAAGCAGATCAGAACTATCTTAGGACATTTAAAGCTACATCTCAAAAAGCTTTCAAAAGACTATTTTTTATTTTTAAAAGCTAATTGTGATTTTTGGCTACGTTCTTGCTTTGTCCTTAGAGGTAACATAGAGCAAGGTGTACAGTCAAATTAGGAACTTAATTCTCACATGTAACATGCTACACTTTAGAGCATATCTCAGCAACACAGGAAAATCCAGATAATCACAAAAGGGGAAGAAAATCAGATGCTGTCAGGCTACTGACACAGATGAATTGATTTCCATTTAAGAATGACTGAAAGCTACTGAGCAACCCAAAGGGCAGGATTTGTGTTCAAGGAATCCCAAAACAAACTAACAAGTTTTTCTGAAAAATTCTACTACTTTGAAAAGACGAAACTGCTTGATGATGTAGGGACAAAGCCAGAGATCCTGGACTAGGAGCCACTTTTCATCGTGCAAGATTGGAACTGATTGCAAAAACTGCATTGTACGTTACAGAAGCAATCAACTATTACACAGAACTTGTGCAGTCTTCCTTTTTGCTTTCTATAGCACACTCCTCCCCTACTTTACAATCATTGTCTATCTCACTTTGTTTCAGCAATCTTCTCTGTCCTTAATTTTGTCACTACCAAAATGAAATCCCTTCTCCTCAGCAGCTCCTGTCATTCAGCATAACCTTACTTATCACTCTGGGAGAAATGATGACTTTAGCTATGCCTAAGGACAAGGATAGGATACCTTTGCTTCATTCTCAACTCTGCTGACTTTCTGACTAACCTTGAACAAGTTGCTTGATTGTTTTGAACATCCAGTGTGTCTCTCTGTAAAAGGAGAAACTGATACTTAAAAATACCAGAGAGTTTAGAAGCTCCACAGGAACCAAAAAATCTTGTATATTAACATGGTCTGATGAAAGGTGTAAAGAACAACAAAAATTCTCTTCTAGAATATTTTCCTCCAAAAGTATATGGCAATCAATTTTCTTCTTTTTCTTCCTGCATTATTTTTACTGATTCAAAATGCTTTGGGATTGGAGGAAGGAGAAAATAAATGATGATGCTGCATTTAACAGCCTTGGACCAAATCTACAGTTGTCATTAATCAGTGCAGCACAGCAGAAACTAATGAATCCATAGCCATTTATACCAGCCAAGGATCTGACATTTAGAATATGCACTGATTAGCAGTATTTTTAAACTGCAAAACGTGCAATTACTATTTGAGAAAAATTAATAAAATACAAGATTAATTTAAAACACCCACTTCTACATTAATATAGAAGCCTTTCACATCCTACAAAGCTGGATGAGATAACAGCCTTTCCACAGCCAACCTAAGAAGGAAAAAGTAAAATGTTTTCTATATTATTGGAATTTTTTTTTAACTACACAGATATTAAGCAAAAGTGATACAAATGAATGCTGAAATTTCTATTAAGATATCATGCCTACAATTATGCTGCTTTAGTCCCATTAGACCTTAAAAATTAACAAAGAATAATCTGGTCAATATGATGACAGGAGATACAAATCAGTTTTAGAAAACAAAAATAACGGTTAATACATTTTTAAACAACTTTTTCCAAATATTTAAGTGCAACCTACATCTTAGTATTAATAAATTGAATCTCATAGAGCCATAGCATTCAGAATCACAGAATGGTTTGGGTGGGAAGGAACCTTAAAGATCACCCACTTCCTACATCCCTGCCATGGGCAGGGACACCTCCCAGCAAACCAGGCTGCCCAAAGCCCCACCCAGCCTGGCCTTCAACGCTGCCAGCAAGGGGCACCACAACCTCTCTGGGCAACCTGTGCAAGTGCCTCTGTTATTGAATATTTTCCTTAATCACTGTTGCAGAGATGTACTTTTCTTTATCCAGTGAATAAATTCTATCATCTCAACTTTTCCCCAAACACAGAAGAAAAACACAGTTAAGACTGCTGTTGTAGCAATAATGAAATACTACCAGTCCCATTCATTACTGCAGCAATACCATTTTTCTGCAATTTAAAAAAAATCTTAACTATCATTCATTCTTCTTTGCATAGTTGAGTCTGTATTCTTTCACTTCCTTTACAGCTTTTTAAGAAAAAAAAATCATTTTAATGGCCAACATGAATTTCTATCTAAATTACTTTTACAGCTACTTTTATCACTCCTCTAAAGGAAACCAGTTTTTAAACAAAACAGATTTCCTTCTTGCTCGTCAGATGCTTTTGGGAAGATATATTTTAAAGCAACTAACAGTAATGGGTGACTGCTTTTTGTTTAAATTCTCTCTCTAGCTTGTTTGAGCCCATTTTTTTGCCTTTTATTTCTAAAATGGCTCTACCACTTTTTAAGATATACATATAAATGTACACATGTACATAAACCCAGAGAAACTGGGGCATGGAGTAAGGAAAAGAGAATTGAATCAGTATGAATTTAGAGACACACCAAGGCAACAGGAATATACTGAAATCAGCAATAACAACAAAAAAGCCAGGTGTTTCCCAGTCTGTAGAGAGGAATGTGGTCATTGGTCTCAAGCAGCAAAGTGAGGTGTCCTGGGTCATGTCCTCCCAAAGAGAAGATGCTGAGGAGGCTCCACCCAACCCAGAGGAAAGGACTGAGCTAAGCAAGAGCTCAAAACACCTCCAAGATGCCATTCCTAGTGCTGAAAGGACTGAAGCAAAAATGACAAAATAAAGAGAGAAGGAGCTAACTGAGAACACTCCAACATCTCAGGGACCCAACTAGTTCTATTATAGATTTCAATAAATGAATTTCTCAGAAGCAGCTTTTGTTTATGCAAATTGATTTGGCTGGGGTGACAGTACAACTACAGTATCAATTTAGCATTTATTCTTCCTATCTGCAGCACAAATAAACTAAACACAGTATATTCAATAACAACAAAAATACCCTGTCTAAAAACTGTTCAAACAATAGCTGTTCCAGGAAGAGTCTATAACAGCTTGATTTTTTTTGGAGAAAACCACATTAATTGCACAGCAGATAATAATGAAACTGCTTTTCTTTTGATATTCAAAATGAAAGCTAGACAATTACCTAAATCAAGCATGCTGAGAAGGAAGGCTCAACGTTATGGCTAATTTAAAGGGCCATGGCATTTATTCTGAGCTAAATCAGACCCCTTGATAGTGTTATTTGAACTACTAATAACCACCTCTAGGACAAACTGTCTGACCAGGACACAAGAAGCAATGCAACAGGTTGCTCAGAAAGGATAAACAAACCCTGAAGGTTTTCAGCCAGACTGTATGAATCTCTCCTTAGATCTCACAGGTGGTTTTGAGCAACAGGTTGACCAAGAAGCCTCCAGTGGGGTCCATTCCAATCTGATGGATTTTGTAATTCTGTGCCAGCAAATACAGACATGAGGAACTTACATGAGTAGGTAGAGGTTCCCCAGACATGAGGAACTTATTGGTTCCTATTGCGTCCTGCATTGCAACAGTATGACCACTACTATCCACAAGATACTCCAGACATTCTGTGGCACCACAATATTCTCTATCTATCAGCATTTTTCCAGTGTGTAACTCATTGATTTTCTGTTCAAAAGATTCTGAGTCTGATTCATCCAGCAAAAACAACCTGAAGTGTAAAAAAAAAGTTTCAAAAAAATCCATAATACATTTCTAACGTACTTGTCTTTGAAGATGTCTTGTGCAGTCTTCTCTTCTTTTTTCTTGCCAACTTCCTTTAGGGGGAAAAGTGCTTTTACTCTTTCCAGAGGAGCCTGACACCTTTCTCTTACCACACAAGGCATCTCTAGCATTTCTAAAAGATGCTGTTCTATTGGTGGCAGTGGCTTATCAGAGTGAAAAGCCTTGTGCTGCAAACACTGCAAGAAACAAAACAGTCTGAGCAAAGTAGAACTTTCAATTATATTAAAAACTTACCATATGGTAACTGCAAAATATCTTCCATATTAAACATACTATCTTTGTATTCCTGAAAAATATTCTGTCTCACAATGGACTGAAAGTATACGATCAACTGTTTAAGGACATTATTAATGATATTAAACAAGAATTCTGATGCACATAAGTGTTCCCACACTCATTGGAATGAGCGCTATGAAAATTATTTTAAAAAATTTCAAGAATGAAACAGTCATCTGCAATTGTTCATATTTTTAGCTTCACTCTACCTTTAAAAAACAGTTCTCTTATAAAACAGTGCCATGGGAGAGATTTCTATACACTTCAACATTAAGTAAATGAGATCTATCCTAACCACACATTCCAGTTATTGTAACACTTTAATGTCCCTCAAAGAAATAATTTCCTCTCGGTCAATCACACTCAGTATGCATACAGGAGGAATGTTCACAAGTTTGAGAGAATGTAAACAGAAAGAGAGAATATTAAATGTGCACAGGTGAGGCACAGAATATAAGCACGTTTGGAACCTAGCTTTGAAAGGAGTAGGGAATGAAGGGGCCTGACAGATGCACAAAGCTGGAACAGATGGTGAGAGCTACAGAGAAGGATTTTTCACCCAAGTGTAGAGTCAGTGCGCACAGCCATGGAGTCAAGCAGACGGGGAGAGATGAGGTTAATGAGGCAGGCTACAGAAATTCCATGGAGGGTTTTGGAAACAAAGTAAATATTCTTGCAATTTTGTGAAGTGTGAGATAGCAGTAGAGAGGTATGTGCATTTACAAATACACACACAGATACCAGTGCATGCACACAAACACATCAAAATGTGATATACAAAGGAGACTTTTTTCCATGCCCATGGTACTAGGTGCATTAGACACCCATGTGAAGGTATTACTGAGTAAACTAGGAATACAGCAGAGATTTGCTCCCGTGTTGGCTGTCAGACATGACATTAATTTAAAAAACAAAGCAAATAAAAGCTCCTATTCATACTGGAAATCTGCCAATACAGAAAAATGTGACACATCAATACTGATGTGTTTTCAGGCTGCCATTAACATTCCAGTCCATATTAGAACATACTGCCAAAAGGAGGCAGTTGTACAAGGCTACTGATTTGGAAACACTTGTAATGATTTAAGGCACCATTATTTTGAAAGAGAAAAAATGTTGCTGGAAGCTGCAGTAATGGCTCTTGTAATGAAAAAAAAATAGGTAATTGAATTAAACTCACAAAGCAAAAAAACCTAAGTCCCCTGTTATGCCTGTGTGTTTCAGGCTTTTGTAACTGACATCTTAATGTGTGCAGCTGCAGGAGCTGAGCAGAATGAGAGGCCACAGCATCCACTTGTAACTCTTTTTAAAGTAGATGACTACATCTCAAACCTGAGATGGCAGGTACTGTCAAAACTCAGGTGCTAAATGGAGATTAAGTTAAACAGACAAGCTGGAGTTTCTAAACCAACACTGTCCCTCTTAACCTTGCTTCCCCCCTTCCTTCTGTGTCCAGCAAGAATCACTCCCACCCTCACAGCTAGAGGAAACCCACACTGCCACTGCCTTGCACACTCACTGTTCTGTTCATGCCTGCTGTCACCAAGGCACTAGCTCCTCATTGCTCTTCCTAATTTCTTACATTTCCACTTCTAGAGACACAGCCAGCTTTCAGAACAGGGGTCACACCAAGATACTGGTCAATGGATGTAATGAACTGGGCTTCACACCATTAATTCTGTGATAAGCCATGACATACATGCACCAACAGACCAACAGGTCCATCTCTCTACAGAACCACCATTGCTGAGCAATTTGCTTATTTGGCTAACAAATAAAATGCACTGCATTCCCTAAACGTCTTAGGTGATTCAAATCCCTGTATTTAAGATGGACAATTTACACAATAATGTTGGAAGTCTACCATTACAAAAGCTACAGAAGTTCACCTAATTTTTTCTGGAAGCAAGGAATAAAAGTTGAAAGTCTGGATATAGGATATTCCTCATCTTCCACTCCAGCAAGCATTAACAACTACTTCTCACCCACTCTGTCATTTCCTGATGCCTACCACTACTTCCAGAGATATAATTTGGCTTGATGTTTTTGTTTAAATTCTGGTTCTTGTCACTTATCATTCCAAATATCTTCATGAGGTAACAAAGCAAGGAAATGAAGTAGGAGTTCATACTTCTCTTCAGAGTTATTTTTCAAAACCATTTATAGGTTCTATTCAGCCCAATCCACTTACTGGCTATAGTCAAAAGATGATGCAGAATTTTTCTTCACAGTTCTTAAGGAACCAGCAGTGCCATTTTGCCTAAGAGCAAAATACTAAGAATCTGGAATATCTTCACAGCAAAGGAGAGAATAATTTACACAGATTAATAGCAATTTTTTAATCATACAAACAAATGGGCCTGGGTGTGGCCAAAAGCACTAAGAGGACTGCCAGTTTAGGGCTTTCTGAACAGCAAGGACAGAAATTGCATCCTACCCCATACATTCAGTCAGTAAATGCTTTTTCTACCGGTAGCACTCACCCTTACAAAATCCTATAATCCTCTAAGGAAATTGGCAAGTTACTCAGTTACCCTCTTCCAGCAGCAATTGACCCAAGTGCTGGAACACTATCATCACACTGTTTCAGAAGACAAACAGCACACCTAACAAAAACCATCTTTCACCAATAAATGATATCCACTAAACTAAAAGAATGCAAAACTCTGTCTAGCAATATAACAGAGGAAATTCTACCCTCCAAGTACTTAATTTACAAGCAATGCCCAAGTTTTGTAATATCCAAGCTTAACAATCCTTCCAAAAAAAAGAGTTGTGAAGAGGTCAGCTCATTTTAAGTTCTTGCCCTGCAATAACCTCCAACTGATCAAATCTTGCACTCAGTTACACACTGTCTTGTCAATATGACTGGCAGAACTTGATGAGACCTCTGAGTTCTTCAGGTGTCAATCAGAATAGTGTTGAAGACAGTGGGCTTACATGTATTCCTGAAGCACACATTGACCTTCAGATCCTTTGGTTATTTTAAAAACACTGAGGAAGCAAGGCTTTGGGAAGCTAGGGTAAGTTTTCCTAATTTTAAAAAAATATCTTCTTCCTACTTGTAAACCGAAATAAAACATGTGGAATTGCTGAGATATGAACATGATTGCTATAATACCATTTTTGGTCAATTTTCAGAGCAGAATCACACATTCAATATATCTCCATGGTTCTGCATACAGTACAATTCTGCAGTTGCTTAAATTGCAACATAATTTTCTTTATTTTTGAATTTGCTGCGTCATTTTTTAAACACTTGAATTCCAATGTATAATTAAGTCTCTCATCCTCACAGTTGCAATGAAAGTCTTCGTGATATGAAAGGAATGCAAATCAAAATGGAGACAGTTTGATATAATAACTGCAGGAAGAGTGAACTGTTCTGCTGGCTCGTAAAGTGCATCAGCTTAGACGCCCCAACAGAACATTTTAAATGTCAACAATGTTAATAACCATTTATTACTGATCCAGTTCACCTCAGACTGACCTGGTTTGGAACACTGCTAGATGCAACACTGCACAGAAGAGAGATGGGACACAGAATGAGAAGCTGAAGATATCCCCAATTTTCAGCCAATTTTTCTCTTTGTCCAAAAGCCGAAGACTGAATCTATGTCCACAATACAGTGCTGAGAGACAAGTTTTAACTTGCCTAGTCTATGTGCCTGTGAATATCACTGATGCTGTTGTGGACAACTCAGCACAGGTATAATTTCCCTTCCTTCCTGGAAACTAAAAATTTTAAAGATAAATCTATGTCAGAGACAACACAGAACTCACCGGTTACCACATACTTTAATGCCAGAGATTTATATCTGCATTTTCACAATGCAGATCTTTCCAACGTGAATCAAAGAAAGACAGACGGCTGAAAAGTCTTAAGAAAATAAGTTTTTAAAAAATACCATATAGTTCATCTCACCTGATATAATCTCTGAAAGTGAGGGTTTGGAATTTTGCTGGGCTTAAATAGGTCCTCAAAAGTTTCTCCATCTTCATGAACCAAATTCATAGAATCAATCAGTGAGTCAACAGCAGATAACTGATCCACTAAGGCAGCAATTACATACAAAGGAAGATTAAATACACTTGCAGATGGATGCATTTCTTGAAACAATTTATAAATGAAGATTTGCTTCACAGTGCGAGATTTCACCCAGTCATTACATGCCACAGAACACACTGCAGCTATGGATGTGCCAATAAAGAATATGGATAATGGACACAATAATAAACTCCTACTTTATTTAAGGACTACCATGTGAAGTCATAAAGACTTTTCCTTTTCCCCCAAGACCTCAATTATTGCTGCCTTTCTGCTTTAGCTTTTCTTATTTTTCAAGATGTTTTCATTTGCAACAGAAGGTTTATAGGCCACTTAGAAAATAAGGATAACAGTTGGTTTGCAAAACTAAATGGCATAATATAAATTTTTAAAGTTATGATTGCAAATTAACACAGTCCACAATAGCCAGCTACTGCTTTGGTAAGACAGGTTTTAGATTTGTTATCAAACTGCTAGTTACAGGCAAGAAAACAGAAACAGCTATAGAAACAAACCAGCATGCTAAATATACCCTGACGTGCAGGTGCCCATTCAATGCATCTCATAACAAATGAAAGAAGCAGGAGTGGATTTTAAATTACATACACTTAAGACTCATTGCTGTGCAAAACTCTCAGAACAGCAAGTCAAGTTTTGTGTAGCTGCATGTTCTCCAAAGATGCCATCCATCTCAAGCTGGACACCAATAAGCACACGGTTTAATAACACTCCACAGAAAATACTGTCTTTGCCTTTGCACATTTTATTAACAGGCCATACTGCAAATGGCTACAGGACCAGCTTTGCACCAACAGAGCAGCTGCCTCTGTTCTAATTCTAGCTAGCTAATCACACACTGTAGATCCCACAAGGTTTGGCCATTTACGCCCACAAATGAGTTCAAAGATCAAAGGATACAGAGGACTAATCACAGCTCTCTATCACAGGAGCCTGTGAGACTCACAAAGCTGTCATTTCACAGGACAGTTGAAACACTGCCTGCAAACTTAGGTCTGCTCAGCCTGCACCCGAAGTGCCAAAGCTTTAATACACATTTACACTTCAAGATGACATCACCATAATGGATGCCCAAATACCTGGGTGTTTTCCTAAGCCAAAATAACAACAGAACTTATGATTTCATTGGTGAGCCAAATATTCTAACTCTTTTAGAGCATCTTAGAAGACAACAAGCAGGTTACTTGACCAGGAAATATCTTACCTGTAGGAATGCATTTTTTACTGTTTTTCAAGGATGAAAATACATACTGTCTTAAGTCTTCCATATAGGGTAGCTGCACATAGATGAGACACTGTGCAAGAAGAAAGAAAAAACAACTGAGCCTGAAGAAAAAAAAAATATCCCCAGAGTACCATATCAGGGCAATATAAAACCCAAGAAAAATCTGAAGATGTCATGTCTGTGCACATCAAAACACTTAAAATACGCACAGAGCAACACAACTTGAATCAAAATAAAACACAGCATTGTATTTTATAACATAGTGATGGCTACACTCAATTTTTCTGCTTGTGGAATAAAGACGACCCCTCCCCACCCATCTGATCCCTTTTTCTCGTGCAGAGTTCCAATTATCCATGCTTTAAATATCCAATATATTGGCGCTTTGGGAGGTTTTAGCACAGCTTACTGTATTCCAAAGTCAAAAGCTGGATTTGGTTTTTTTAACATTTCTCTGCCTTATTTTTTCTTTATTCAATTACCTCCTCCAGTTCATACCACCCTAAATAATTCCTTTCCATCTTTTATGTTTATACCCTTCAAAAGTCTGAAGATTGTTGTGTCCGCCCCCACCTCCGTCACTGCTCAACCATGCTACACATATTTAGCTCTTTCAATAGTCTCTCGTAAGAAAGATCAGGGGAAACATATGCTGCAAAAGTTCTGACATACTGTGCTGCTTCTGGGTCTCTTTGCAGAAGGGTAAGAGAGAAGAATTACCTCATATGTATCCTTAATATATGGAAAAGCTACTCCAATTTGTGGATAGCATCTTCTATCATAAGCATAGCGCACTACAGCCACCACTTTCAACTCATCCAATGCACGAACAAGTGCAGAAAAAGCAACTGCTGCATTCTGGAGGGAAAAAAGAAGTCTAAAAAGTCATGCAAGTTCTTAATCATGAAATACATCTTTCACAGGGAATTCAACAGCATTGATTTAGTCAATACTAGTTTCCATTTCAGCTATAACTTTAACAGCATTTTTTCATGTTCATAAATCAAAGAAGTAGAAAGGTCAAATCTCATCACGATAGCGGATCCATTCAAAGCTGAGTCAACTTTAGATTCAGCACATTCCACTTTTTTCACCAGGTGTGAAGAACTCTCAGAGGTTTTGCATGAGATAGCAAAATGGAGGAAAGTCCCTTAAAGGAACATATTAGAGCTCCACAGTGAGCTTTTTACCTCCAGTTCTTTGAAGGTCTGTTCTAAATAACACAGTGACAGGGCACATTGTTGCTCTGCATGAGAATCAACTTCAGCACCAATTTCAGGTTCCTCACAACCTTGCTCAAACATAGTATCTACCAGTTTTTCATTATTCTTGAGATACTGTATTCATTTGGGGTTTAATCCAACTTCTTTTTATCCTAATGGGCAATGAAATTAGACATTTCTGTAAACTGCATTAAAATTATTTATTACACAGAAAGACAGGACAATCTCAAGCATCACTACTATTCTTTTTTGTTCTGCAGTAAAATAAGTTCAAATTACACTTCAGTTTACCTTACCGCATCATCCTTTGCTGCAAAGACCTTCAGAGCTTGGTTGCCCATGTAGTAATGCCTCTGGATCTACAGATTCAAATGGCCAAGAGTTAGCCTGACTTAAAGAAAAAGCCACTAATACAAGTGGATCAATTAAATTATAAAACAACTAGCATTACTCAAGTCAGAAGTCGCCAAATTTAATTACAGTGCATAGAGGTTAAAGCCCTGCATTTGTCTCATATCTCCATTTATCGCTGAATATGAATATTCAGTCATATTGGACAGGATATTATCATATCCTCCTAGTAATGGGCAGGAATGAAAGACAGTGCTACTGGCAGCTGTTACCAGTCTGAATTATACTTCAGTAATTCAAAAGCCATTGTGGAAAACCACAGTAGTTAATACAAGGCCTAAACCTAATGGTTATCATATCTATGCTATTAAATTTTTCTAGCAAAGATACATCAAAAAGAAGCCACAAAAAGTCTCATCCTTAATTAATAAAGCTACTTCAACACCAACCCAGAGTATATACAGCTGTGCTAGTAAAAAGGCACTTCTGTTAGCAGAGTTTATTCTGTTCATGAACATGGCTGAATCTAAAACAAAAAGGAAAAAGAGTTTCATCAAGGGGCATCACTGGAACAGCTGGAGCTACAGCAGCTCACACACAGAGAAAGCCTGCAATCATAGGAGACCTGTCACAAAGATCACACACTACTATGGACACTGATTGAAATAACCTCTCTTTGTTAAAGAAAAAACTCTTTACATTACAGTCTCAGAACTAACGTCATTATATTTTTGATTTTTCTTTCATTCATTTCACCTTTTTATTTTATCTTCTTTATTTAGCAAATTACCATAAGGCTGTTGAAGTCAGTGACAACCTACAACAGAGCAGGTCTGTTCACTGTATCACAGCACGATTCTTCAGCTCAGATTATTCTACCTGCAATCCTTCTTTCCTGTTCTGTCTCTAAATGCTCAGGAAATTTTACATTCAGTATAGTATACATCACAAGATGTATGTATCACTACACCTTTTTTTGTTTGCATGAGAAATTGTCCCTTTGTAATATTTTCAGGAATTATTTCTTGATTTACATGGTATGGCTTATAAATTAAAAATCAAAGCTTAAGCGGCCTCTGATCTTCTTTCCTGAGGGATGCAAACAACTCAGGAAAAGAATATAAGGTGGTTCTATTCCTTATTTAATTATGTATTTGGAGCTGTTCCAGTTTTTCTAGTCAATAACAAATCATCTTTCCATCAAAGTTCTTTAAAAAAATTAATATAAAACATACATTTGAGTAGTGTCAGTTTTATCATTCCAAACAATAAAATTTAGGAGGCAAAACAAGATAACATATGGGTCTTGAAAATTCCAGCTGTAGTTAAATCTTCCTGATATCATTACCTATCCACTATAATTTTAAATCTGCAAGCACGCCTGAATAACTTTATTCCGCTGAGGGGATGTGCAGCTACTACTGTGCATAACTACTCATACTCCTGGCTACAGGACAGAGTACACTTTAAGATATAATTTCTGTTTCTTATAAAATCCAGAGACAAGAGGAGTATATAATAAAAATTAATTAAAAGCAATCAGTATTTGGTACATTGAAAAAATTTAAAAACAACTTGTTAATTCTTTTATGCATATTTACATGACTCAGAAAGTATTTCTAAAATTAACTGTAATCCTACAATTATTAACTATGTATTTGAAGGTATTACCACACTATCTGACCAACAATGGGAAAATAAAAATCCACATGAAATAACAGTTTGTTCAGAGGAACACTAAGTTCCTCATCTGCTTTCCTTTTAGTTTCCATTTTCAAAATAAAGTCAGACTGAGCTGAAACAGGAGGCCAACCTCCAGCATAAGAAAACTCTGCACACAGCAAAATACATCTTGCAGAACTAAATGACAATAGTAAGACTCAGCTGGAAGCTAATAACGTATGAAGAGATCCAAGAAATTGTCTCATTGGAACACAGGATTCAGACACATTTCACTTATTATTAGAGCCAGTTTCTGGTACAGGTAGCACTCCCTAACACCTCTCTGGCCTGGCCAAGCATGAATGAGATGCTTTCTTGATCAATCACTTGCAGTGCACAGCTCCCACATTACTCAACAACTAAGTCTGAGAGTCCTCAGGGAGCAACCAGGTTACAGATTCCAGTTGGGCTGGTTTCTCCTTTCAGTAAATCACAACTTCCTGGCTCCTCAGTGCTTATGTTTTGGAACACTGCACTGCAGTAGTCTAATGACACCTCTAGCAACATGCACGAGGTCTCTGTGTCACCTGTATTGCAAGGTAAGAAGATGTTTAGTTACATCTATTTGGGAGTAAGTTCCCACACATACTTTCCAATTCATTAGCATATTTCCTTAATTGTAAATGTGATGATGCCTTAGCCTTTATCAAGAGCTCTCATTCGTTCAGACAGTGAGAGATTTCAAAGAGCAGGAGGGCTGGGAGCTCTCAGAAGTGAAGGTGTAGAACTGCCCTGTGATTTCATTTCAGTTTTGACTGGTGAAGAGGACTGGGTGTAGGTAACTCCAAGATGACTAAAGTTTCAATCAGAAACTTTTTCAGAGAAAAAAGATGGGGAGCAGCTTAACATCCACAGCAATTACTTGGCACTCACATCTCTGACCTCTCTCTTCATGTGTCCCTCTACAATAACAGTTTTGTTAAGCCTTTGCCTAAGGCTTTGCTAATGCTTAAGTCCTGGATTTTCTGAAGGAAATCACCTTGTGCTGGGTAACTTTTAATAAAGTACTTGCTCAAAATAAGTTTCTTACAACTGTCAGGGACAACAAACAGCAAAGTCAATACCACAAGTAGAGATAAGTGCATTACAAACACTGAGCATCTCACAGAAATATGGAGAGCTTTTGAATTATGCTACCTTTGTCTAAGAAATCTTCACTACATTTAAGTTTTTTCACAATAGAAAGAAGAGACCAGTCATGGTTCACAAACTAATCCTTATGGAATTGAGAATGAATGGAGCCAGCTTCAGGCTTGCTTTGACACTACTTTAATGTTGAGGGAGAAGCTTCTGTTAAGAAGCAGCCATACTCTTGGCTGGACAAAGCCCAGAAAGGCTGCTGCCTGAGCTGAACACAAGACAGACTATTAAAGTGTGGGAGATGAAATGAGACCACAATACCTCTGTCTCCTCTTTGCAGAGATCTGACTTCAGTGGCTCTGGATTCACTTGAGAGACCAATGGCCACACTTATGAGCTTCTCTCCTTCACAAGACCATTGCTTACATGTACTAGACCATACATATTGCTTACATGTACTAGAATCAGCAAATAAGTCACCCCGGCATACCTGAGTGGAGCTGTCCCATTCCCAATACTGGAACCCAATAAAACACCATGATTTCACTGAATTCAAATCAAGATCAACTGTCTCGAATAACCCAGGAAGCTGAATAGGAAGACATTTAGTATCACACCTGTGAGGATCTAGTGAATCCCAAAACAGAAAAACACTTTCCTTCTGTTTTGTATTTCATTTGCTCTTCATCTTCCTTGGAAAAAGGAACTATATCACTCCCATACCGAAAACCTGGAGAACGAGAGAAGAGCATCTGGTAAGCATATGGGCCTACAATTTTAACACTGAAATTAGCTCTCTGAATATTTTAACAATGCATTCATGCCCCACAGCTACGTTCCACACATGCTCATCAAATTACTTTCCCTGTTAGCAAAAAAAACCCAAACACCCATAGACACATTTTGTACTTCACAAAGCACTCCTTGTACATCATTTTATGTAACACAAGTACTCTCAGAGAGCAGGAAAGAAAATAAGGGAACATCTTGCCTAACAAAGTTATGCTCACAGAATAGATTTAAGCAAATCAGAATAGATTTCAGCAAACAGATTGCAACACTCTCTGCAAACATAATACAAGCCACCTCAAACATACCACAAATTATATCACACGAGGTGACACCAGAAGAGATTCAGAAAATAAAATGTACTAATAGTAGAAGCAAGGTACACAATGGAAAACCAAAACACTCTTGGTATGCAGAATTGGTCTTTTCATATATTTCTGTATTTTACTTCCCATGCTATACATTACAGGTATATGTCCACAAAACAGGATGTTGTAATTTCTCAGAGGTATCATCTGCTCCAACTGCTTATTCTCCTATCTCAGCTTCCAATATCCTTCCTGTAATGCCATCAATTTATTATGTTGCCACAGACTAAGGATGATATCCTCAGGTGTGCAGAAAGCAGAAGGAACAGAGATAAATCCCTGGATGAAAAACCTATAAGCAGATACATTTTCCTACAGACTGCAAAGCAAACACACAGAATGAAAGAAATTCCAGTACAGTAGCTGCAAATACAAAATATTGTCTAATTATGACATTTCTCAAAAGAGTCACTGAAGTCCAGGAGGCATCAGGAACTCTTTTAGCATTAGAAATAGCACTGACAGGGAAATCTTTTATCTCTTTTGTTTACATTGAACTGCTCACCACTTCTTTTTACTAGTATCCCACAACTACTTACTAACTTAAGCAGTCAGAAGATTAGCTGAGAACAGTCGCAAATCCTCCAAAGTGCATTCTCTGTAAGAAGTGGATTTTTTTACACAGTTTTGAAATTGTAAAATGTAACTAGACCATCTTTTAACCATCATTTTTGATTAAAGAAGGTCACACTGTCATTGGGACTTTATCTGATACTGCTAAGAAACACCTATGAATGCTAAAATTGAAATAGATTAAATTAAAAAATACAGCTTATTCTAAATTTCCATTTATGTTATTCATCTGACAGCACACTCTATACTGTTATCTGAATAGTTCTGCTCTTTATAGTTAATATACTTGCCCTACTTGTGTGGGATTGAAACAGCAAAGAAAAGGAAAAAAGCTAGTAACAAAATATATCTATACAATCACAAAAAATGAAACAGATTTGCTTAACTCAATTTTTAAAAGTAAGTACACTATTTCCTGCTGTTTCTGGGGCCTGTAGTCTTCTAAGGAAATTAATCTGCTCAGAAAGAAGCTGCAGGTCATAAAAGGTATGTTGCGTACCACTACTTCAGATTGATCCTGTTATAGTACAGCAAAGCTGCTACTCTTGAACACTAAACCCTCCTTTGATGGCTTCATCTTTCCAAGTGCAGAATAACTAGAGCAGTTGCTCATCTACAAAAAAGCAGCACTATGAAAGCATTCATGTTATCAGTACAAGTGAAGATCCAAAAATGGAATAGTGGTAGCAGAACTACTCACTACAGAACTGAGGTATGGCCTTCCACTGTGTGTAGTTCAGAAAGCTGTAGTGCCTTCTAAGCTCCATCTGTTGTTATTATTGTTGTTGTTATTAGTTCTACTATTATTTTTCCCATTGTAATTATTATTCCTATTATTATTATTCCTAGTACTGGCAAAGTAAGATTTTTTTAAAATATGTCAAAACAAAGAGTCTCATGTAACAGTTTCTGTTCCACCAGCCTACAGGGCTCACATACTAAGACCACAGCAAGGCTTCAAGGTATAAAAGTAAGAGGCCCTTACATGACCTAAGAATTCAAGCCATTACCTTCCCTTTGTCTTCAGGGTGCACTTAAAGATGTCATACCTTGAATAGTATCATCTTTCTGAACCTCTGTCTCATCATCATCATTCAAGCAGTAAACAGTCTCTTTTTGCACATCCTCTCTTCTGAGGGTTTTAGCATCCACAATTGCCCAAAGTTTTTTCACCCTCTCCTCTGTGACCTTGGTATCAGAATTCAAAGAAAAGGAATGTTTAACATCTCAGTGGGATCCAGAGTACTTACCAGAACACACAAAAAATCCTTAGCCTGAGTGCTGCATTATCTTGCCAACAAAAAAAATAATAAAGACTGTCAAATAATGCATCTCTGGCTGCTACCACGTGCTTTCAGCACTGCTTCATCTGTAAGAGACCTTACACATGGACTGTACCATATTGACAGCATACTTGTCCTGGTTTTTCATTAAACCTGTAGGTTAAGCCATTTGTGGAAGTCTTTGAGGCTCAGGATACCATGTAACTTACTTGCTATGCAATTTACTACTTCCAAATGAATAAATACTTTTGCCAAAGCATTAAGAAATATGTTAAAGATACAGTAAGACTCAATGTTCACTCAGTTTGCTTGGCCGAGTTTTCCATCAGACTTGCTACACTACAGGATAAAAATACCTTATATTACTGCAACTTTCCCGAAAGGCAAAAGGATCCCAGTTGCATTATAGGACTTGGGAGGGAAAGAAGGAATATGTGTTGACAATGAGTGAATGTTTCCCAACTACAGGGAAATAAAAGTGCTTTCTTTTCTTCTGCTTAAGTGAAATTGATGGTATAGCTAGTACATGAGAAGAAAAACATAGAGCTGAGCAGAAAACACTAAAGACAGAATAGATTATGTCAGTATGACTGCAGTATGACCTCAGGCCAGTCGCTAGTTCATGTTGCTTATTCTCCCAAACTTACTTTATTTTGTGTGTAAACATCTTTGGGAGGGGACTCTTTCGGTCTATTTGCACCAGTCTGGCACAATAGCCTAATAAAAAAATTTTAATAACTCTAAATAGAAAGTTGATGTCTTTCAAGGCTAGAATAACCAGCTCTCAGACTTCAGATATATTTCATCAATACTCCCACACTACACAGTTACCTATTAACTATTCTATAACTAAAAATTTGCACACTTGCTGCCTTTAAACACACTTTTTCCTAGCACTGATTAAAGGAACCATATAAACCGTAAGAAACAGACTGGGCCCAAGCTCTGCCAAACAGTACAAACAAGCTGAAAAAACAGACCTTTTATTCCAAGTCTGAAATAACAACAGATGTGATTTGAAACAATGGCTGGTAAAACATTTACACCCACCATTTTAGGCACACATGTCCAAAATTCTTCTCATGCCTAGGGCTTAAGAAATATATATAAAGTCTAACATATCACTGATGCTAAATGTAAATCTTCAGTCACAGCATTCTTAGTCAGGAACATCAACTCCAATACTACTAAGTGCCAGAGTAGATAGCAATTATTCCTATTTCTGTACCTTATGAATTTTAGTTATTTAATGTGTATGGTGAAGTTAAAGTTGCTGTGGGAACCAGAATTTTAGATGTACTGGCTTCTAACCAAACAAAAATCTCTATCGTAATTATCTGGATGTTGTTTTATCTTTATTTTCTTAGCTCTAAGGAAAAAAAACCAACATGTAGTGGCACCTAACTTGCTGTCAAATTGCACTAGCACACACTTACTGATTTGTAGGCCACAATCCTTATAGACAAATTAGGACCAATAGTGAGTTGGCAGGGCCAAGGCATTGGCTTCCTTTCCATTTTCTTAAACATTGAAAGGCGTTCCAGGCTCTCACTAAATGAAGGAATCAGGAAAACAGCAATGAACTCTGGTGAACTGTAATAAAGTATTATAGACAATACACTCTCCTTAAGGAAATGCAGGGGTCCAAACTGTTCCAGCTTAGATTGCACAAAGCAAATAAACTGAATCAATAATCTTACCATTACCCATTGTCAGAAAAGAGAAGGACAAAAAGAGGTGTTACAGCAGATTATCCCCATCCTGAGCCTTTATGATGTGTGACACTAGGGCTTAAAGGCACTGTGTTAGGTCTAGTGATAAAACCACACAATTGCTCCTTAAGCATTTCCCATTTTTCTGTGCTCATCCAATTAGGGCACGTAGCAAGCTGAACAACACAAATTAGAAAAGGCTCTCTAAGTGGTAAAATGCTTTCTATAGGGAAGCTAAAGAAATAAAGAATCCAGTTTCAATTAACAGGATATTGTTTATGTAGAAATTAACTTTTGACACCTTTTTAATACAGTACTAGTGAACTCATTAATTTAAGGGCATTCTGTCATAGTGAAAGAAGTTACTTCAACTATTTCTAGCCTAAACAGCAGATATACAAGTTAAAAAAAAAACACAAAAAAAGGAACTGTAATGAATTCATACTAAAAAGTGTTAACTTAATTGCGCAACTTTTAGCAATGGAGTCCAAAATTAACAACTCACAGTAATTTATAATATATCATTGTGAATTCAAATAGGCTTGCCCCCATAAATAGTTTTCAACTAATACAAATTGTATTGGTAATCTGGCTGTAAAACTCCAACACAGAAAAAGCTCTCAATTTTTTTTCTTTTATTGCATGATAAAGGAACTACTCCTTTTCATATTATGATAAAACCTGGAATCCAACACTCTCTTGATTAAAGCATTTGTCTGGCAGAAATCAATCCTAAAATTATCAGTAGAGAATTCAACTTGGCATTCTCCTTTTCAGGTTTCCCAGTATGAACAGGGTTGGGTTTTTTTAAATTCTAAATGCACAATGAAAGGCAAAAACACACTGAGATTTTTATATGAGATAAACACTGAATTCCCTTTTTAGTTTTGGGTTTTTTTCCCTTAGGGAAAAGAAGATTTTTTTTTGCTAGCAATAAAGACATCAATACAGGATTTTAAAAAAGAACATGGCAGTACATCATTAGGAGTACTGCAACACATACATTCAGGGATGACTACAAAAATGAGTACAAATGCCCAAAAATGTAATTTAAGCTCAATTTATAATCTCTATCTTTTAATTTCTTATATTTCCAGAAGAAAAATGCTACCTGTAACTAAAGATGACCCAGTCAATAAAATCTTGCAAACATACATTTCAGCTTGTATTTTATGAACACAACCTTTCTGCTCTGCTATCCCTTCCCTCAAGGCCAGAAGCAGCAGAAGTATCTCCTGTCTAATAAACCAAGTATCATAACAAAAAATCACAACAAAACCTCCTCACTCACTTCCCTGGCATGGCTAATTTATTTTTACAAGAGTTGAAATATTTTTACCAGCAGGAATAATTAATCTAGGAAAATGGAGAGTGTATCTGCGTTGGCCAATTATGATGACAGATTTGCAAAGATGACTTCTCAAAGCTTGATAAGCAACTTAATTGCATCTAAAACCTCACATACTCTTAAACAACTTTTCCAACTAAAGCTTTAATCTACTAGCCAAATGCCTATTTATCCAGAGATTTTGGATTTCCCCTGAAAGTATGGCACAAAGACAGCTTTTAAAGTAGCAAGAGTCTGTGATAAAAAAAGTATAAAGAGGCCAAGCCACATGGCAGGTTCATGCATATGGATTATCCTAAAGGATAAATGGGCCAGGAAAGATTCTGCTTTTCTGTGCAGTCTTTGAAGCAGTGACAAAGCCTGCTTTTTTCTAGAGACTCAGACTGCTCTGTTGACTAGTGCAGAACACAGACACAGTGACACGTGTCTCTTCACTAATGCACAGTAATGCTCAAGGAGCTTCTCTGGCTGCTGAGGTGCAAAGCTGACCAGCTGAGCTGGGGGAGGCAAGGAAATCCCACAAATAAACTGATGAATTACAGCACACAAATCTACAGGGACAACCCTCATCTAAAAATTCCCTTTGATAATGACATTACAGCTGTGGTCTGCTAAGCTTCCTGAAAATCACATTGGCTAAAAGATCACTTCTCATAATTGTAGAACAGAACTACTGAGACAGTAACATCAGACTATGATAAGGCACATAGGTGCATTTTGCCTGTTTCCCAACTAAGACAACACCTATGTAGAAAAGTCTTGGATGTATCATTAGCTACAGTTTTTCAGAGATACACAAACTTTTACTCTTTGCTTGGGAAAACAAGAAGTGAAAAATCATCTTTCAATTCTTGCATTCCTAATGCAAGAAAAATGAAAAATAAAAAAGTATATTGTTTGTCACAGCGGCACAGTAGACTGTGATTAAAGAGCAGGATTCAAAAAACAACATTTACTCAAAGAATTCATGGGAGTTCATCAAACTAGTGAGCTAAAAGTAGTCTGCAACCAAGGAACAAAGGCTACCATTAAATGCAGATATTCAAGCTGAACTATGCCACAAATTCCATTTCTTTCTAAAACTTGTTTTTGAACTGACATTTACAGAAATGTTCCTTCCAAAATCCTCCAACACTAAAGATGGAAGTAAACTGATTTTTATAATTAAATACAGATATAGAAAATTCATTTTCCCCTGAAATCTCTAAGCTCCTTTACTTATTCTAAAGCCACTGAATAAGCTGTATGAAGGGGACTGAGGGTACAGTAAGTCATAAAGTTCAGTGACTTCAACTGATTAGTTAACTTCATCTTTTGGAGAAGAAATCAGGAAGCATATCTACAGGACAATAACCAGGATTAGCCAAATTTACCTGAAAGTATAAATTTCTTCCAGCCCTCCTTCTTCATCCAAAGTATACATGAGCTTCCTCACCACATCAATACCTTGCTTTTGTTGTTCAGTTAAACCCTTCATTGGAAAAGAGTTTTTGTGCATATGAGCATGTACACTGGCACTTTTATCTCCACTTCCATCATCAACACTCACTGGGAATGGCAGACTAAGAACAAGAGAAGAAGCAGTTAGTTTGACTTTCCTTCTTATGAAAATAACCAAGCAAAACAAAACAAAAATGTTCTTAGCATCAACAATTTCCATTGAGCCGCAGACAGATGTATAAAGAGCCACAGGACTTGCAAAATAAATTAAGCAGTATTTCAAGTCTATTTGGCATTGGTAACATCTTGACCAGAGTGATGGACCAGTTCTGGGTATTGTGCATCAATAAAGACATCCACATACAGGAATAGATTAGACAGTAAAGTCAATGCTGATTAGAAAGCAAGATCCATTAAAAAAGATTGAACAAAATAAAGCCCATAGAGAAGGGAATTAGAGGGCAAGACAGCCTTAAATACAAAAAGCTGTTGCAGAGAAGAAGGAAACAATCAGTTCTTTGTATTCTGCCTGCACACCTATCACATCATGGAGTCAGGTCAGATTGTCAAAAACCTGATAAAGGCATTTCAAACCATAATCTCTAACACCAACTGCCTGAGGAGAGAGAAGAGCCTCCATCACTGCAAATCTTTATCAGAAGGTTAGACAAACACTGCTCAGCAATGACAGACATACACCTGACCCAGTCTGAAGCAGAGGAGTGCTCCAGATGACTTGTTAAAGGCTGTTCCAGGCCTGTGACTCTGTATTGGCTCAAAATGCCAGCAAGCAGGACATTCTCTGCAGTGGAGCTATTAGGTATTTCTGGAACAAATGTTATTCTTTGAGATTTTAATAGCTTACAACACTGGGTGAATTTCTGACTGAAGATGACACATTTTTCTTGCACTTCATGATTCAGATTTTAAAATTTAGCCAAGGGTTATAGATAAAATGATTTTACTGCTCTTCAAAATATAGAAGAGTGTTAACTAAATATAACAAACACAGTAGCAAAAAATGTGTAAGATCCTCAACTCTGTGCCCCAGAAAACACCTGCAGATTTTTCATCTGATCCTATTCTGACTGAACCACATGATGCCTTTTACCACATTTCTACAAAGTGAAATAACTTTAGCATTGTATTATGTTTTTTAAAAAGCAGCCTACACATCTCTACCATACTTCCACCTCATTAGTCCTCACTAAACTTATCCATGAAGCAAGAGATAATAAACAGAGTTAACATTATGCACAGCAGTGTCACATAGAGCCAAATTCAAGATCAAGCTTCAGCAAAGTGTTTGGTACCTTTTTAGGAAGCAGATTCCACTGACAAAATATAGAAACTGTATTTTTAAGCTGATGTGGCAATATCAAAAAGCTTCAAACCTCTGATAGGTAAAGTTAGGCTAAAAGGATCTAGGCTGTTGCTGTGACAAAACCACTGTTTCTGAGGCTATTTTTGGCTTACTGTTTCCTAATTCTAATTCTCTGCTTATATTTTTCTTTTGTCTCCCATTTTACACTTTGGCTCTAAGGCATAAGCTTAAGTGGAGAAGAAGCCATCATCTTAACATTTATTTGCACATTATTTAACCAAGGGGACTTGGCTCATAAGTGGAATTCAAAGTACATATAACTGATAGAAGTACTTGCTATTTCAAGATAATAATTAAGAAAGAATAATTTCCCTTAAAAAATGGCATAGTACATAGCAGACATCTTCATACTTACAAAAACTGAATTGAAGTTCCTGTTTTCTTCAAGTTAGCAATGATAATTTCCAGCTGATCCTCACTGACAGGACTACTAAGGTCTGTAAACAATTCAATGTGTCTCTTCTCATATTTCTTTCCTCTTAAAAATAGGAAAAAACATTTACATATATTGAAAATATTATAAGGCCATTTTAAAATAATTTCCTTACAAAATAATAACAGAAGTAATATATTTGTAATTACTTTTACCAAAGAAATTTACTTGTAAAATGAAATAAAGCAAGTAAACCTATTTGGTAGAAGTTGTTCTGTCATAGGTTTTACTGTTCATACTAAGTGTTTACATGAGCTCCCTTTCTCCCTCCTACCTTAAAATTGAGAATTTTAGCCCTGTGAATGTATAAATCACTAACTACACCTAAATGAATAGAAGTCTGCCAATTTTCATCAATGTGGATAAAATGCTAATAAAATATGTTAGGCTGTTTATGGATTACACTGGTTATTTCCTTTGCAGCTGTAAGTCTGTTCTTGTGGAAATGCATTTTAAATGACTGTTGCTGGTGGGGGTTCCATTTTAGTAATCTAATTCAGTAGATTCATTGGAGAAGATGGACTTTCAAGACTACTTAATATACTAAGAAGCAGTAACAATACAGATCAGGAAGGCTGAATGACAGAACAAAAATCAGTTGAAGTGGCTGAATTCAGTTTTGATCTGGATAATCAAACACAAGAGTGATTTTCTTGAATTTTTACCCTATAGTATTTTCTCAAATGAAGACAAATTCCATATCAAAGGGGTTGGTGTATACAAGCTATAACAAAACCCAGTGTTCCATAGCTATTCAAGACTATCATGCCATAAATACAGTAATTTCCATTCACAACAGTTTTAATCACTAAATGGATACAGCCTTCCACACTGATTAGACTTTATTCATAAAAATATAAATTGCATCACCAAGTCCAGTCTTCTCCACTCACAGTTAGATCATATAACCTTTTTAGAAACATGATCAAACCCTGGTTTTAGAGGAAGTGCAGTTACCTTCATTTCCCTGCACCACTTGTTCACAGAGTGTTAGAAACACCTTGCCAGCCTCAGTGCACTCACTGATAACTTTGTAACACTGATGTCAACATTTTTTCTCAGCTTAAAGAGTGTTTTTCCTATTGCACCTTTATTTCCACAGCCTGCATATTTACAAACAGCCACTTCATCTCCAACAGTCTTTAAATTTCTAGGCTGAAAAAATTCACCTTTCTAGTTTTGTTTGTTTTTTTTTCTTTCTGAAATGTGCCGTCACATTTAAATTCAGTAGCCCTTTCCTAAACATTTTAACATCCTTTTTAACAGTTTTTGAAAGCAGAACACAAGGAATGTGACAGAAAGGGAAGGCTTTGTGCCTTGTATAATGGTAGCAATGCTCTCATGGCTCTACTACAGAGTTGCCAGCTGCCTCAGAAAGCTCTGCAATTGTCTGGACACGTCAGATGTCTCATGAGGATTCTTTAGAGACAAACTTCTGTAGTGTGCTGTTTATCTTTAATGTTTGCTCATTTATTTTTTTTTCAGAAAGCACTTCCCTTGTTTATACATACAGTAAACATAAGAGTGACAAGAAAACATCAGTGCAAAGTCAGATTTCTGTATGAGCCCTCAGGTTACATACTCACATTGTTTCTTTCTGAAGCAAGTCCATACACACAATAATAGCATCCAGAACTAGGCAAAATTAAGAAAAATCTCAGAATTTGAATCAAGTAACAAATGTTGTTTTTTGTAGAAAACAATTTTACATTTTCACTCCCTCTCAAAGACTGAAAAACATGCATTTTAGTTAAGAAATACTCTTTTTGAGAGAAATACTTTTCAAATAACTGATGTGCAAGAGGTTCCTACATAACTTGTGTGTATTGTTATCTTGTCTCTGCCCCACTTACCCAAAGGAACACTAAAAAGACTACTTCAGATCCCAGCCTCTCACCTGCCAATGAGAGGCTCAAGTCCATGAAGAGGCAATCTAACTTTTAGAATGTTACTCTGAATCCACCAACAAAATTTCAACATATATCATTTTCTCAGAGAAGTTTTTCTTTGAACCGCCTGCATCCAACAATCTCTTCCTCATCACAATGTCCACTGGGAATGTGTGAGCCAGCTGAGTTGCTGAACACTTCTGAAACAGCTCTGACTGCCTGGACAGAGCTCACAGCAATCATTTTATGGCCAGAGAGAGCCAACACAGGAGACTGAACTGACTGTAAATGAAACACATGAAGCAATGCTATATAGATCACCCTTTAAAACTCTTCACTTTCCATGTAACTAAGAGCAGAACACAGTCAAACATGAATGGCATTCAAACCAGGGAGTAACATTTGTCAATGTTCGAAATACTTCACAAATAAATCAATCTGATAAACTTCTATTCTGCTCTCTCTGGGGTAGAGATAGTTTTCTTCACAGGAGCTGATGTGGGGCTGGGTCTTGAAATTGTGCTGGAAACAGTGATGATAATATAGGGATGTTGTAGTTGTTGCTGAGCAGTGCTTGCAAAGAGCCAAGGCCTTTTCTGGTTCTTGTACCACCCTGCCAGTGAGGAAGCTGGGGGACACAAGACCTTGGGAGGAGACACAGCAGGGACAGCTGGTCTCAACTGACCAATGGGATATCCCACACCTGGCATCACACTCAACATGTAAAGCTGGCAGGAAGAGAGGAAGGGGGGATATTCAGAGTTCTGGTGTTGGTCTTCCCAGGTAACTGTTAAGTCTGATGGAGCCCTGCTCTCCTGGAGATGACTGAACACCTGCCTGCCTGGGGAAGCAGTGAATAATTCCTTGTTTTGCTCTGCTTGTGTGCATAGCTTTTAACTTCCCTATTAACTTGTCTTTATCTCAAGCCACGAGTTTTCTCCCTTTCACCCTTTCAGTTCTCTCCCATCCAACTGGTGGAGGAATGAGCAAGTAGCTGCGTGCGGCTGAGTTGCCAGCTGGGCTGAAACCAGGACAGTCTGGTTTCTGGAACTTCTGCTGACTTACTTCATAAACAACATTCTTATTAAAAAGCATAAACCAAGTTCTGTAATGCTATTTTAAAAATACATGCCTTATTTGAAGCCTAAAATTATATTACTATCTTTTTTCTCTTTAATTAACAGAACACTTCATAAAAGCAATGATTCCTTTTAAGGCCAAGGCTACATCTGTTAGCCTAAAAGAACGTCAAAAAGCGGCTAAATCTGCTTCTGGGCAAACTTACAACCACAAATTAGCTCAACTCTGATAGCAGTTAAAACTTGGGAGGCTGAGCCCAATTTCACAACACTGACTTCCTGTCTCCTACGTAGCTGAATCAGTTCAAGAAGTGCTCTTCAGCAAAAGGATACAGTCTGCTTGTGCAGAGCCTGCTTTAATCATATTTTGAATGTCTTCCAGCAGATCAAAATCTGGCAGCATCAGTGATCTATGTACAGTAATGTTTTGGTATTGATCCTCACTGGCAAGGCCATTTCTAGTGCCATTAGTGCCAAACAGAACTACAGCAACTTCATCTTTACTCTCAGCAAAAACCTGCAGATACAGAGAACACAAAACAGGTATAAAAACACAGGTAGATTCATACACAACTATGTTAGGCAGATTACAGCAAACTGAACTAATTTTGAAACATCAATTACAATGGATTTACTGGTTTTTACTTATTCGGTGCTATCCTCTCAAAATGTAAACTTACAGTGAGATCACAAAGATATAATTAAACTAACAAATTTGCAAGGGGCTATCTGGGATAAAACAAGTAAAATTGGTTGATTCCGTCCTCAAAATGGTCTTCTGTGTGGCAATTAATAAGTGTTGAAATATTTTAGAGAAAGAGAAAAGCAATTATTCTTTTCCCTAAAAGTTGCTACTGCCCTGAAGAAAAAGGGTGACCAACCCAACTATCACATCTCATGCACAAAAAATACAGCTGAAACAAAGAGCCCTGTTGCTCTTGCATAAACAGAGACTAATTCTCACTCATTCCTCATGTATTTCAATTATTAGTAAATGAGGAAAACGTTTCCCAGATGTTTTTAACATTTATGAAGTCACACGCACCTGTCTCTGCACAAACTTTGTCATAATCTTCTTGGCTTGGTCAAGTGAAGACTCTTCACCAGGGGAAGAACTGCTCATTGTAAGGCCTACATCCAGGCACAGCACTACTGCCACCTGGAAAGGAGGAGTGAGAATAAAAAATAAAATACAATCATAATTACTTACAAGGGTACATACAAAGCCCAAAAATCAAACTACATCACAAGTGGTTTCTTTTACACTAATTGTTAATAATAGACAATGGTGGAAGACAGAACTGGCATAACTGCACTGAAAAGAAAATAATTTCATCCTGTACTACGTTCCAGACATTTCAGTGGAAATACAAAAAAATCCTATGTTACACAATAACCTGTAAAGGGCATGTAATTTCTGTACAATCCCATTAATGTATTAGGGATCTAAGGGGTTTTTTTGCACCAGGAAATTAAACAGATACTTTAGCTGACAATTGCAAGGACGAATTCCAATTTCAATTTAGGGGCTTAAATCCTTCACATTTGTCTACGTTTTTGCATTTCTGATCACCTCTTTAGCTGATCTATACAAAACACTGCCCAAGTCTGCCCATGAATTGATTCATATGCTAGAAATAAATAAAATTGTTTCTTGCAATTTCTCATTTGACTCTAAGTTCCTCTAAAGTTCTTTCACAGACTCCCCTCATCTTGATCAATCATCCACATAAATGTAGTTGCAAGAGGAATTCAGCAAAATGAGGCCCTGCATGTCCAAGGCCAGCTCAAATTTATTCTCATGGAGTAAACCAAAGTTACCTAAATATGCATCAAAACCTTGCTTGATGAGCTGCCAGTAGATTAAATTACCCTGCCTGAAAAAACTGTTTGCCAGAACACAGGAAAGTCAGGTATTACCTAGGCTGGAGCCAGCTGACTCATTTTAAAACACAAAATATATCCAATTCCAGAAGAAATGAAGCTGACAAAAGGATGTGGGCAATAATCCTAAATCTGTCAAATGACACAAGATGTAGAGTCTGCTTCTGCAAAGCCAAATGGATGAACAGCAAGATAAGGCATTGGTGTAAGCCCTGCAAGCCCAGCCTTGCAAGCAACTCCAAGCACCTGCTGAGCAGCAGAGCTCCACAAGCTGTCCTGCAGGTTACACTCAGTCTCAGCACTCATCCTGCCTTCACCAGCCTTGCCTGGGAGCTGGGAATAAGTGCCTGAGCCAGCCAGGGCTGCAGAAGCTCAGAGTGGAGCAGAGGCAGTTCCAGAGGCCGCACAGTGTTCTCATAAGAGCCCTGTCAGTGCCCACCTCCAGCCTGGGGAATTACCGAATCTACCCACAGCAGCAGCTGCAGACCCTCCTTGGCTTGGTGCTGTGCTCCCTAAAAACGCTTCATAGACGGCAGGATGACAGCAGAGAAGCCACAGAAGTGCAGGAGTGCAGAGCTGCTGTTTGCTTACAAACACACCATCAATGTCAAGTGCCAACAAGATGCTGTTCTGGAAGGCAGCAAACCCAAGCTGGGTGCTCGTTCAGGTGTGTGGAATCTTCCTTCAGGAAGAGGGCACCTCCTCTATGTCTCTCTTCAGCTGTTATTAACCTGTTATTACCCTCTGGCCATGTCACCGGAGCACGCAGAGCTGCTGCTGGCAGTGCAGGCTCCTGAGCGACACTGGCCCGGAGCTCGCACGTGTGACCGCGGGACAGCCCTATCACACCTGAGCGACACCAACCCGCCCTGCTCAGTGCCGATAAAGGGCGATGAGGAACAAGCCTGCCTTTATCTCTGACCTCTCGCTGCTGAAGCAGCTATAATAAAGCAAAGACAGAGATGGCTACAGCAGCACAGATAAAGCTGCGCTTAACAGACACTAAACTGCTCCGTAACACAAGAGACCTGAACACAGCTTTCATCAATAAGCATCAGATATAGAAACTGCATTTTCAACAGAGCAAAACCAGTTCTAGCATTACTCCAGCAAGAGTAACGCCAGTCACTGCTGCGGGAGCTGCACTGTGCTCTAAAGCAGGAACACTGATTCCCTCTGAGCCAGTCAGCTTTGCACTGGCAGCGGCTCGGCGGCCAGCACGGGGAGGAGTTACAGGGCGCAAAGGATGGGTGGATGTGAGTGCCCGGAGTCAGGGATGGGTGCCCGTGGGTATCCGGTGCCAGGGATGGGTGCCCGTAGCCGGCGGTACCCCCGGCGGGCCCCCTGCCCTCACCTTGCCGCTGGGCGCCATGGCGCTGGTGGCGGGACGCGGTGCAACGCGCTCAGCGCTCCGCCCGCCCCGCGTCCCCCCGGGAACACGGCGGCGGCGCCTCGCGTTCCGCGGCGGGGGCAGCGCCGCCTAGCGGCGGACGGGGGCTCGGGCGGGGCCGCTGCCGGCGCTGTCGGTTCAGGACCGGCTGAGGGGAAAGCTGAGGTACGGCCGGGCTATGGGAGAGGGGAGATCTCCCTTCCCTCATCTTTCTCCTCAGGGCTTCTCGCAGCCCTCCTTCCAAGTGCCACATCTCGCAGGCGTGGTTGTCATCTTGGCCGCAGTTCGGGCGGAGCGGAGCCCAGGACAAGCCCGAGGTAGGTGAATGGCGTCTCTGAAGAGAGGCGGGCCCAGGGCAGGTGTCCGGGACCCTTCTGCCCTGCCCTGTCCTACAGCACCTCCCGTTGGGTTACATCCCATCCCTCGCCCATCCCGATGTAACCCCGGCTGGCAGCCCAGCCCCACAGGCCCTCCCCAGCAACACTGGGGAGACAATTGGAAAGCTTAAAGCTGGAAAACTCGTGGGTTGAGGTAACGAGAGTATAATAAGAAAAGCAAGAGCCATGCACACCAGCAAAGCAAACCAAGGCATTAATTCACTGCTTCCCCAGGACAGGCAGGGGTTCAGCCATCTCCAGGAGAGCAGGGCTCCAGCACGTGTAATGGTGGCTATGGCCAAATATCCACACTCCATCATTCCAAATAGCCCCTCTTCCTCCTCCTCTCCCCTTTATATACTATGATGTTATATTCTGGAATACTATGATGTCTGAAATACCCCTTTGGTCATCTGGGATCACCTGTGCCAGCTGTGTCACCCCAACTCCCTTGCCAGCGTGGCCATACAAAAAGCAGAACTGGCCTTGGCTCTGTAAGCTCTGCTCAGCAATAACAAAAACACCTCTGCATTGTCAACCCTGTGTTCAGCACAAACCCAAAACACATCCCCATACCCAGTGGTGTGAAGAGCATTAGCTCTATCCCAGCCAAACCCAGCACATCACTCCAAAGGGGCTGTCTCCAGGGCTTCCCAGCCACCATGGCACCCCAGAATCCCGCAGGACACAGCCTGCTGGGGAGCAGCCATTCCCCTTCACCACTGGAACAGGGATTTCAGCTGCCCAAAGCATCCCAAAGGTACATTCTGCCTGTGTGTATCCCCAGTGGGTCAGGATTGTTTCATTAAACACTGGCACAACACTAGCTTTGTCCCACCATTCACAACAGAGAGAATTTCTGAACCACATTGCATCCAGGCTGTTTGATCAAACTGGAACCCACTGATTTTAAGAAGTCCTAGTAAAATAGATGCTATATCAGGTATATGTTGGTGCCCATTGGCTATGAAATCATTAGAGATATATGAGAATGGCAAGTGTTTAATCACATGTATTTAGTACTTCTTGTTCTGCATTGCCTTCCCTGTATCCTTTGAGGGTATCATTACCATTACCAGTGAAAGTGTCTTTCACTTCTAGGTATATCTCAAATCCCATATATTACCTATAATTATTCTCAAAACAGAGCTCCAAGTGGGGATACTAGTGTAGCTACAAAAGAGTAAATCTTACATGAACACTTCAAAAATCTTGTACCAGAAGACGACCCTACAAACACAAGTGTTTCCTTTTTATACTGAGTGATGTCTGAAGACAAAAATCCCCTTTCCCTCCTTACTACACTGCCATGCTTTGGGAATACTGGTAATTGAGGGATTCTCTCTTCAAAGCACTTTGCATATCAAAGGAAGAGAGCAGCTTGGCAATGTGACAAACATTTTAGGGGAAACCGGTAGACAAAAAACCCCAGTCAGCTACTGCCAGAGAAAATCTTGCATTGTCTTCCTGAATGTCTCTAAGGAGATTTCAGATTAATCAGCCAAGGAAATCAGGCTGCTTGCTATCATTATTATTATTCCTGATGTTATCTCAGTCCAAAAGCCCTCCCTTGGGCTCACAACCAGGCAAACCCCACTCCAGCTGATTTCCAGCAGAGCTTGAATTCCAGGCACAAGACAGGAGATGTGCACACACACAAGGGAAGAATAGAGAAACAAGAACTCATCAATTTAATCAGCAATAGCTTTTCACACACCAGCAGAAAAGCATTTTGCAAGGCATCATGATCAATGAACATGTTATTTTTATGCTGGGGGTGGAAAATAAAACCTCAGCCCTGACTGCTGGAACAGAATATTGACATAAACCCCTTCTCTCTGGCTCCTAGATTTGACATGAAAGCTGAATCCCAGGCTTTGGTCCAAGCTCTTGCAGCTGGAGCTGTAATTGCAGACATTACTTAGGGAAACCCAATTTGGGCCAGAACTGGGAACCTCTGATTGCAGAAGGTTTGTATGGCCAGCCCTGCTACCAGTATCACATTTCCTTACAAAGTCTGAGTAAAACTAAAGACACCTACAACCATGAAACTCAATCTGTGATATTCCTGTCCTTTAGCTCTCAGTCTGACATAAGTGGGGGCTTTTAGCTCTCTGGCAGAATACACAAACAATAAACCAAAACATTTCCACCTCACACCTTCATGCTGCCAGATTTCTTCAGAGCTGTTTCCACCATTCAAAGGAAAACTGGCTAATCATTCCTGAAACAAAACTTAACCCACATTTCCCTTTTCCCTTTCCAAGTCTGAACAGAGCTCCCTCATTGGTAATCATCAAATCTGACTAATCACCTCCATCTGGGGCACCAGGGCTTTGTTAGCCTGGATGAAGATTTGAGGATAATTGTTTGTGAATGCATGATGAAAAAAAAAAAAAAAAAAAAAGGGGCTGTGATTAATTGTTTATTTCTCTTATACAGAATGCCAGTCTCTGGGTATAAATAATAAATATATGACATTTCAGAGGACTCAGGATCCAGAGTGATCAGCTGTAATCTCATTCACACCAAAGTGTGTCCCACCTCAGTGTCAGTGAGGTTTTCACTCATTGCTCTGCTCATTCCTTGTTTGGTTAATTCCCCCCCAGACCAAGGCTGGATGAAGTAAGCACACTCCTGGGAAGCAGCAATGAATGCTCTGCTTTGTGCTTAACTTCACTCAATGCCTTTACAAGGCAGCAATGAAAATGGCTTCCCTGGTTTTTACAAGAAGGAATGTATTACCCAGAGAGTTACAGCTGAGACCCAGCTGCTTATGGCATCTCTGAGCAAATGTAAATGGCTTAAATGTAAAAGTAGCAAGATGACTTGGCCTTTCTCCCTCTTTACCCACAGGGTAAGACTTTGGATAAATGCCTGGTGGAAAGATGAATACCACAGCCATCTGGGATCTAGCTCAACAGCTTTATTGAAATGGATACATGAAACAGAATTTTCTACAGAAAAATAGAATTAACTTTGCAATCATTACCTATTCTTTGCCTGGGACAATACATAAAAATGGGTGCTAGCTGCAAACTGAGGAATTATGAACTGAATTTTTCACATATAAACAAAGCAGGGCAAACACACTGTGACACCAATCAGCTTTGTACTTCCATCACTACAAGCCTGGCAGCAGGCTGGAAGACAAAGTAGATGGGAAATTGGCACCCTAAACAAAGCAGAGCTCGGAAGCACATGTGTTAGCAGCCTCCTACATTGGGCTTTGTGAGGTGTGTAGTTGTCTTCTCCCAAGAGGTCTTTCCAAACACCTGCTTGAAAGCACATGCCAAAACTGTGGTGCAGACTAACATTATTGTTTATTGTGTCTGTTTGGTGATTTCTGATGGCCCTTCCCAAGGGATGCAAGCCTCAGTCACAGTGTTTGCTTAGTTGCTTCTGTGGAATACACCTGCAGGGAAAAGATCCACTCTCTAAAGCAAAACTGGTCTTTGGCTTTGAGGTTCAGCTCCAAGTCCACAGGGCTTGTTCTCTGTCTGTGACTCAACAACATTTGGCACATTAAAAACTGTGCCTTTAATAAACTGGAAAATAGCTTCTAAAGAATCCTTTGAGGGATTTAACAGTTTTCATCTCTTGGTCTATCTGTTTTGTCCATTTTCATTTAAGTTCATGCAATGCAAAGAAATGAGCCTCTTGGGAAACAAAGACATTACTGCAGTAGGAAAATTAGCAAAATAGGAAAGATTATACCACACCATCCAACCTTGCATGAAAACACAAAAGAAAAACATAGGAAGGAGAGGCAATGAGTAAAGAGAATATATTGACTTGGGGTTTGTCCTGCCAGGCACATTTCAGTACAGGGCTACTGAATAGTGGCAAATGGATCACAGCTGATAAACTACTTCAAAGCAGCACACCCAGACCTCCTAATCCCATAGGACTGCAGAGGAGAAATGGCTTTTCATCAGCATGGAGCTGAGAGACAGAGGCTCCATGTTTGCAGATCCTTTCCCACAGGGGTGTCACTGTTGCTTTCCCTTGTCACTGCCCCCTGCCCCAGCTGCTGAATTTACAGCTTTCTTTCCCTTCTCCAGATTATGCAGTAATTACACATTTCTCAGGCAGAAAAAGAACCCCTTCCACTGGCTGTTGTACATCAGTAGAGGCCTTATCAAGTACCACAGAGAAGGAAAGCATGAAATCACAGGCCAACAGTGCTTACAGCCCATTTTCCCCCATGTGGTTTTTTACCTTTTCCACACTGTCATGGAGTCACACTTGAGAATGACACTCTTCTGTAGCCTGCCTGTTCTGTCCTGCAGAATTGCTGCCCATCCAGTAGTTCTTCCACCTGCTGGTTTTCATTCCCAGGGAAATAAATGGCACATATATCTTACAACTTGAATCCTGATTTCTTTCCTCTTCCAATCCATTTATGAAATTGCAACAATAATTTTTTTTTTAGTTCTTATCTTCTTAGCCATGGTGCTTGCCATCCCCCTCGTTCTGATGACACTTCCAGATTTCATAAGAACTGTTTTGTCTTCAGCCAGGTCATAAAAGGACACTGCACAACACAGGTTGGCCAGTCCTGGGAATAACCACTGGGCACAGCTTAAGATGTATCACTCTACCTGCTTTTGCAGCTATTTTTTCAGGCACCAAAATGCACAACACTTCCCAGCCTGCTCAGGAGAATGTCATTTAAAACAGCATCCAAGCTTCACTAAATAAAATAAGGAAGGTGGGAGGATGATTTAGCAACATTTGTCCTTAAATCCCCCTGGTTTTCCTTTTACTTATTATGTTCTGAGTATCTACTAAAGGTTTAATTATTTGCTACACTACTTTCTACTCTCTAGAACCCAGAGAGCCTCTAACTCCCTGACACCTTTGCCCTCTCTCATCCCTTTTTAAAGTAGATACTATATTTGTAATCTCACACATGACTTTCAAGGGAAATCATTAAAGCTTGTTTTGGCCAGTTTTATATTTGCCTTGGATGGAATTCACCTGGCTCAGCTGATTTGAAAACATCTCCACTGCAAAGCACTGACATTTCCTGTTTTATCTCAAATCACTTTTTGCTGCTGATGTTAATTGTGTTGCTGCCTGATTGCAGATGACCTTTGTAAATGGACAGTCTTCCACAGCTGTCAATTATTTAATTAGCTCAAAAGGCAGAAACATATGCTGTGGGTCCAAAGGTTTCATCCCAGCTGAATCTCATGTAACTGTCAGGAGGAGACTATTTAATATAATTTCATTTTTTAAATTTATTTGTTTTTCTGTAAGAAGTAAAGAGAATATTAAAGTTGCAAAAGTCCAGCTCCAAAATAACAGGAATTTCTGACATTAAAGTTTCTTTTCCAACCTTAACCAAGTATTTCTCTATGCTGTGATACAGATTCAACTACAGGACCAGGTACTTTTTGACAATGTCATTATATATTTCAATAAATATTGGGATAAAGTTAGGGCTGTGCACTCAAGGAGTCATGAGACTCTTGCCTCATTTGTTCCAAAAATTTGGAGGCAGAAAGTGAAAGAGGAAATTCTTATGATTATGGCACTTTAAGAATTAAACTCTGGTTTTGTTCAGCAGATTGGCAGTAATCTGATATAGGTATCACTTGAACCAAGTCTCTCACCAGTAACCACTGGTTGTGTGAATCACATTTTCTTAGTGCTCAGTTTAAGATATGTCATATCTGCATAAATGTTGAGCACTCACACACATTTGTGAATGGAGCTTCACTTTCAGAACAGAAAATGTAGGGGGATAGAATATAAAGTAGTATAGAATATAATCTTATCCCTTAAAGAGTTGCAGCTGGGTTAGTTATTAAAGATTAGGAGCAGGCTTGATTTTAACAGGCCACAGCTGTAGCCAATAAGAAGAGTATTATAAAAGAGTGGATTGGTTGGTTGAGGGAACTACAGTCAGATGGCTGCTGTGAAGACAAGGAAGAGGCAGTGCCTGATTATGTTAAACGTTCAAACCTGCCCCTTGCAGGTGATTTTTTTTTTTGAACGTTTAACATAATCAGGCACTTTCTTGTTTTCATTATAGTGCAAGAGATTGTCATTACGTTCCAAGGGTTCTATATTGCTACAGTTTCATACCTCCTTGATGTTTCTTGTAGGCAGCTCAGAGGAGCACTGAGCTTTTTTAGACTTTTGTGTATTTTAAAATATTGTGCTTTTGTTGTCATATGTTATTGGAAAAACAAAAACCCAAAAGTATTTTTGTGAAGGATGTATACATTACAGTGGCATGTATTATTGAGAGATTGCTTTGCACAATCTGTGAAAATGGGGTTTGACCACTCTCTCAAACATAAGGACAAACCACAATGCTGTATTTGCTTCTCACTAAACATTCTCCCATGGCCCACTGTGTAAGCCTGGCATGCCAGAGAAAGAGCAGCATGCAGTCCTGAGGATAGAGATTGTTCCAGATTGCAGACCTACGAGGAACAGGAAGGAAGAGTAGGATTCGTTTTATATTCATATAGTAAAAATTAGCATGACATAAATTCTTAGTATTTCCATTGCAATTTCATGGCGTGTAGACCTCTCTGGATGCATTTCTAAAGCGGAGAGTAGTACTGCAGTGGCCTTTTATCCCCAGTTTTCAGTTCAGCCACTGGAGGGCAACGTGATCCCAGACACCAGGCAGAGGCAGCTCTGCAGCCCACCGGAGTAGGGAGCGTCGCCCAGCAAGCACTGCCGAACTGGAGAGGAATTTCTGCACATAATCTGGCAGAAATTAGGCAATAACAGCAGCAAGAAACCACATGCTCTTGCATTTTACCTTTGGGGGAGGTAGATTTAAGCATTTCTTAATGCATTTAAGGTTTAGGATTGCTTCACGGGTTCTAAATCCGTGGATTAGCTAAAGGATTTCTGCAGGCAGTGATGCAAGAGCCACTCAGTCTGGTATCACGAGAGGCGAAATATTTCCCACTGCTAGGTAGCTGAAAAGCCCCAGACGTGTGTCTGCAGTGGAAACAACTCTGGCAGACTTTTCTGGATTAGTTGTTAAATCTTTTACAACAAATTATTTGTTGTTTTATAGGGCTATCTGCCTATGTAGGGTCTGGTTTTCTTTCAAACAAATAGAAATAGTGGCGCTCAACTGAGCTCCAGAGCACCTGGGTTCCTGGTGAAGACCAGAGAGATCATGTCAGGTATATGTGCTTTGAGGAAAGCAACAGCCCAGCAATAGTGCATCAAATAGTGTTTGGAAAAATGTTAAAGCCAGTGTCTTATTAAGAGGTGGTAAGTACCAAGTGGTTGCTGCTGTTTCAGCTGGGGCTGTGGCAGAAGCAGAATCTCATCCATGTCGCTCTGCCGGCCCCCTTTGTGTGGCAGCCTGTATCGCACCGCCGCCTGTGCAGTGCCTTTGTTGGCAGCCATGAGCGCTGCAGCTGCGTTTGCAGGGGCTCTGCAAAGCGCTCTCATGCAGCAGATTGTTCAGGACAAGCGAGCTGGGATAACTCACTGCGTGAAGGATTTGCTTAGCAGATGCACACGGATAAGCCTTTAGTATCCTCCCCTTTAGTTTCATCCTGCCCTCACCAGCATCGTGCGTGTTTGCATGCACACACACACAGGGGCTGGCTAATAATCTAATTTAATCCTTGCAGCACAGGATTTTGTTCCTTATCCATTCAACTGTGGGAAGGGATGAGGAATCTTCAGCTGCCAAACAAGGCTCTTTCTGAGCTGAGAGGATCCCATTTTAAATTTCTATCCGTTTGCTTGCACCTGGAAGCAGATTGAATCAGACTGAAAGGATGACATTTTGGATCTTTTGAAAAATATTTGCTTTAATTGCACTTTCAAAATGGAGCATTGCAGCACTGAGGAGGGGACGTCATGTTTTAATTCTTGTGAGTTTCCTGTTTGTACAGCTTTGAGGGACAAAGCAGCAATGTGAAGGAGGGAGCTTATATTTGAGAGGAAAGAAGGGATTAGGATTGGTTTCTATTTGTGTAAATTGATGTTAACCCATTACACTAGCAGATATGTGACAGTGTAGAGGCAGGGGAAGAATAATTTCAAGTTTTCCCTGTCAGTTATTTTATTGTTTCACAGAAATTCCTTGGAAGGAAGTCATCAAGATGATGAGTTCTGCAGGGTTTTTTTTTTTGTACTAGACATTCCAGACAGACCTTTAATTTTTTATAATGCTCTATTGAAATAAATGGCAAATTTAGCCAACACAATAGACTTGGTTTTAGGGTGGAACTGGAGCCTCAGAGCAATCCTGCTGTAATCCTGGGGCTGGCTGAAGTCACCACCATGACGTGAAACTTTTGCCTTGGAGCCTGCTGCAATATTAGAGTCCATTGCTCCAGCGGTGTTTAATCGCATTAGAGACAAGCCAGTGCTGTAATCACTGTGAGTCACTGAAGGCAGCTCCACCAACACACATTTAGGGAGAACTGAGCCACCATTGTCAGTGACACTGTGTGCCTTGGGATGATACTGCTCATTATAGTAAATATTTCACTTTTTTCTTTACTACATGGAGATGCTACGAATTATTTCTGCTCCTTGCTTAGGTCACAGAGGAGCTCATTTGAATAAATTAATGAAGGTTAAAATTGCTTGTGTTTGTTAATTCTGCATGCCATTTTTCTGTGGATAAAATGTTAAGGAAAATCTCCATTATCATGGAAGGATATTCTAGTAATTGCCTGTAATTATAAGGGCATCTCACTACAAATACATTTAAGTACATCATTAGAAACTGACACTTCACTACTTCAGGACAAGATTGTATTTTAGAAAGAAAGGCTGAATAAAATGTATGCTCTCCTTAGGCTGACTACCCCAGGAGCTGTTGGATTCATGCCCAGCACTGGCACTATAAAAACCATTCCCTTTATTTATGATATTTGGGGTGTTCAGATCACAACTGCAGGTTATTCAGATAATCAGGCTAGAATAAATTAAGCTATATTTATGTTCTATCCTAATGAGCTGGTTTGCTGGTGTTTTGTAGTAGAAATAATTGATTCTCTTACCTTATCACTGTAGGAGCAGAAAGAATTTGGCATATATATGAAGATAGTCTAAGGCACCTTCAAAAATACTTGTCTTAATGTACATTAGTGCTGGAGGAACTTGTAATAAACCATGCTCTGGGGGAACATGTTGCCTGGGAAGTGGGGATTTATCCTATTTGCAGGCAGAATAGACTATCAAAATCAGTAGTTATCTTTTTTTATCTTGTAAAGCTAAGTGTACACCTGGAAGAAATGGCTGGGACAAGGAGCCCTAAGACAAGATCACATCTAAGATTTGTATCTTAAGGGGCTCTAGGTCAAATTTATCCATGGAATATCTAATTTCAATGGATGCAAACCACAATGGATTTTAGCTGCTGTACTCTGGGAATAAGGTTTTATGTTTTAGCACACTAAAAGCAAGGGCATTTTTATAACACCGGGAAAAATGCATTGTTGGGCTGACTCAGGCATTCTCTGTATTTTAATGCATTCTGACAGACTTCAGCTACCGTGTAATGACATGAGATTAGGAGCACTGCAAGTTAATGGAACTGGGTGAGCAGGGGTTACATGACAGACCCTCATGCCTCATTTCTCTGGACTGCTTGTTTGTATGCAATCACACTTCACCTGTTATGTGGAAGGATGCTTTGGGGATTTTTGAGCCCCCTGGTAGTTTACCTGGACCTAACACACAACCACAAGCCCTCCCTCATCATTAAGTGTCTGCCTGTTGGAAGAGGAATCATGTTTTAGTAGTTAAGACAAGCAAACACAGTGTCTATTCTAATTCACCAAATTAATTGAAAAGTTGTGTTTCCAAGTGGATTAGCCCTTCCTGAATTTGATTCAAGCTCTCTTTTTTCTTTCTTTCTTCATTTTTTTTTTTTTTTGAGTTCTCTTTTCCATTCAGGGAATAAATGTGTGTGGACTAATCTAGGGATGAAAACACATTAACACAACTGCCTCACATTGCCAAATGCTTGGAAAGAAGCAGGAAGGGCACTGATCCCATAGATAATTCACTGCCTGGGACAAAAAGGGGCTGCATAAATGTTAAGCCAAATTGTGTCCATCGCAGTGCAGAACTGTGCTCTGTGCATCCTTATTTTCTCTCTGTAATGCTAGTGTAATTGCATGCTTCAGTGTTCAAGAGCACATTGGAGTGGCTGTTTTTAGCTAGTGGTTGGAGCTTCTTAAAGGTACCTGTGGGGAGTGGTTATGAGGATCCATTGTGCAGCCTCTGCTGATAATCTCAATGAGGAATTGCAGGATCCTGGCCTTAGGATTCAAAGCACAGGCTGGAGGGACTAGAAGGGTGAATTCGAGGCACTTAGAGTGGATAAAAGCACATTC